CCCGCTTTTCACTTCTTTGTTCGAAGGGAAATGAACAGGCCTACTGTTTAAAGACGCAATGACCTCTAGTGGATTCTTTTAGCATAACATACTTCAGCCAAATGGTAGAGATGGCTCAATCAATTTAAACACTCACCTCAATTAGATATAGTGACTCAAAATGGGCTCTACCAAACGGTCAACCAGGCAGTTATTTAAAGGAAATTAGATTTTGTTTGATGTACACACCCCAATTTGATTACATTGTATGTACAAGAAAAATGTCTATTATACTTGAATGTTACACGTTTTTTGAGACTGCAAAGACCTTTAAATTGTAAACTTATGGAGCCCTTTCAGTCAAGTACAAACAACAGTCAACAAACTTCACATAAACAGTGAAACTGTGGAGCGGTCATAAAGAAGTAGGTTCCTTATATAACTGTAAATTCAGTCTGAATGAACAGATTGCTGCTTCTCTACACAGCCTGATACTTAGGCTGTAGGTGTAAGCATGTGTGTGTGTTTGTCTGGGAGCATTTCTCTTCTCCCACCACTCATTTGAGATTCTGACGTTGAGGCTTACCAAGAAAATGCAATCAATGGATAGAAATGGATGTAACATCTAACTTGCACTGTATACGTCTTATAAACCATAAACATGATGGCCTGGAATATGTTTGAAACAATGATTACAATTTACAGTTGAGGGTAACACAAAGCAGATAACATGTGAGCAGCAGTGGGAATGAAGCTATCTTTTATTTACCATTACAAAAAACAAAAAAATGGCATTTAATTAGTCTCTGTTAGTGGCCATTAAGTAAATGTGTTCATTGAGGCATTTTTAATAACACCAAAAACAGCTACTAATGGATTGATCTTAGAGTGGAACGGAAACATTTGAAAGCTTTCACTCGAGTTATTTGTTGGACTTTTTGTGTATGTATTCTCTCAAATTCTGAAATAACTGAATATTTGGCTCCTTTGCATTAAGCAAACATTTCCTGCATTTTCCTTGTTTTAAGATTAAGGATTCAGGATGAATAATGAGGCAAAGAGAAAACTGCTCTCTTCTCTACAGAATGGAAGTGTTGGCTCCAGTGCAATCTACAATATCACCATCGACACGCTCTGTTCTGATCAGTAAATTCAGATTGGCACGACTTGTCTAGCAACCACTTGCCATTCTGTATTCAGTTTCCCCAGTCACCAACCAACTCAAATCAGTAGAAGTCTACTTTTAACTTCAGCTTTTAAATAATGCAATCAATTACTAGCCCAATTTGCACTAAAGTAAATGGAAAGGTAATGTTACGACATTTCCACTCTCAGTTGACTGTGCACACTTGCAGCATACTGTGGGTATTTAGCTTTTTGACTTTAGCGAGCGGTTCTAGAAACAAACTCATTACATGTTTGGGTAGTTTGTCTTCCAGGCGTATGGTGTAATAACACTTGCACATGCTCACATACTCACTCCTGTTTTTTGACCTTTCTGCGCTGTTTTACTCACAGGATGAGACACAGCTTCTAGGCAGAGACTTTTTTTAATGAGGAGGTAAACAAGTTCAGTGCTCCCTTTGCAAGAAAAGGTTTCAGGTTGGGATTGTGTATATGATTTCAGAGTTGGTTACATGTTTGGATGCTTTAAGTTGTATTCTTACAAACCTGCATGAGAACAGCAAACCGTTCATTTCCTTCATTCATGAAAAACCCTGAGAGGCAGTTTTAATTAAATATACATATTAAGTGGCTCATGTGAGAGCTCTTAAAGTTTCCTCATAAATTATGCTGCCATATATTAAAGGTTGCAACATTTTAGACCCTTTTTACACTTCTGAGATTGCATGAACACAGACATACACACACATACACACACACACACGATTGTCGTCCGTGTTATGGGATGAGATGAGACAGTGTGCATGAATAATGATGCATAAAGGAATCATCCTGTTCATCAGAGGGATTTAATGCACATCATGTAAGGTCTGGAATCCATACCTATTGTTTGGGACATGCAGTGCATATAGGCATATCTACCCAAAAACATTATACCCAAGATCGTTTTTATGAATATTTATTTTGTGTTGCCATGGTTATTATATTGTATTATTATTGTATAATATACAGAGAGCTGACTTTTCCACAGACTATTTGAAACCCTGTAGGAAATCATGTTCAGCTCAGCTGCTGTAAAAACAGATTGAAGAAACTGATCTGGCCATAACCTGCAGAAGTTTGAACCATCAGTGGCCTACAAGTTCACTCAGACTAGTAGTGTCAGATAACCTCATGTCATGCCCTCAGTGATTCCCTGTTGACCCCTCATTCAAAATAGGTGGCCGCTCTTTACCGAAGCCAATGGCTAAATTATTCAATTCAGATTTTTCTCTAAAGTCTGTAGGAAAGTCTTTTAGGTTGACTACCTCTATCACCCTGTGAAGACATTAGAATCGAATGACAACAGCTGCCTTACAAGGGGTTTCCCTTGTAACATTCAATGATAGCTGTTTTTATTTTACTTTGCTCAGTATGAAGGTCTGTTTCAGTGACAATTTGCCCTGAAGTCACATCTGCAGTTTGGGTGTAGAGATAGGGTGCATGAGGACACACAAGAAGCCTGAGAAGCACTTGAGGTCAAACCGAACCTGATGCATGAAGCCTCCCAGAGTCACAGTGGGAGAAAAAACAAATCTATTTACAATCACAGGGGTCTGACCTCAGCTGCAGTCATACCAACGCAGAGAGTCAGCAACATTTATTCATTTACTTAATGAAGGCTCATATTCATATTCACATTTTGCCCCCTCTCTTTCTACTCATGTTATTATTATCATTATAGATAATAATACACTTTATTTATACAGCACATTTATTAGCAATGGTACAAAATGCTTTGCACATAGAAATAAAATGAGACAAGGCAGATAAAATGAAGAAGTCCAAAGAACATGAACACAGAGGAAGTAAAGACAATAAAATGAACAAGAGCAAATTAATAAGAATAAAACAGGATATTTCCAGAACATTTCCAAAAGCCTTCATAAAGAGAAAAGTTTTAAGAAGACATTTAAAAGAAGCTATAGACTCAGTTGACTCAGTTCAGTAGGCAGAGCTCAAATAGCAAAAGCCCGGTCACAAACTGAGGAAATAACCAGTAGGGCTCCATCCGTGGATCTCAGTGATCAAAAGTTCACATACCAGATCAATACATAAGGGCATTAATATGCTCTAGGACTTTATGACTCATTCCTTACAAATCTATACAAGTAAATTTCAATATGTTATTAAAAAAGAAAATGTATATACTGGGGGTGAATGGAATTTAAACACGGTTCATTGCAAAGTATGTGGATCATCCTGAGTACTAAGATAAAACCAAAACTTTCTTATAAAATTCAGCACATATCAAACATTGATGATGATTATAAAACTTTCTGCACATCAGGTTATAAGAGCATTTTTTCAAACAATGTCAGACCTGACTTCTATTTTTCAGGGTAGAAATGATGTTCAGCAATTGCACAATGGTGCTTTTTATGTGCTAAAACACCCGCAAGTTAAAGGGTCAAACTCACTTGAACCTTTCAGCTGTCAGTGTGAAAGCTGGAATTATTAATGGCCACTGAGCTGTCTGTTTGTATCACAGACTGCACAGTCTGCAGTCGGTATGTAAGAGAAAGCTTCGTGCTTTTGTTTTTGTCTTTTTCTGCAGCGTGTCGTGAGCTTGTGTGAGAGGTTACAGTAGATTAAGTTCACACACCTGAGTTTACCATCTGCACATCTGTAACACAGGTGTCACACCTCCAGAATAAAGAGCTTCAAGCAACACAAGCAACTCAGACTAGAGATAGTTCAACAACTGTGTATATGTGTGTGAGAGAGAAATGAAGACAGGAAGTGGAGTGTGTGCTTGTTTCTGGACATTTTAGGTTATTAATCACCAGTGATAGCTCCATGTATGGAGTCTCTATCCTGTCTGTGAGATTGGGTGCTATCTAAGCCCCCCAGGGACAAACACATTCAGCTGAGACATAAATTGGGATTCATTATCCGCTTCGTTTTTTTTTTTTTTTTTGCCTTTCTCTTCAAGCTCTCTGTGTCTCTTTTAGCATATGTATAAGCATGTGTCAGACTTTGTTAATCCGTCTGAGAATTAATCCCTTTGAGATGCTGATTCCTCGTCCACGTACAGTATAGCTGTCCTGAGACCAGGCACAGCTGTGGGGAAAACCTCCTGAACAGAACATGTTATTGTTTAGCCATGCTGTCATTTACACTGTAAGATTCATTTAAGGCTCAAAGCACCTGATTTTTTATTGTTTACCTTAAGAGTTAAAAATGCCACTACATTCGCCAAGCGGATCTTATTCAGATAACCAATCCCTTCTGAGACTGTTGTATCATGCTCTGCACCAAAGGCATTTTGGATTCTAAATATTAGTTTAAAAGCTAGTTTTAAAAACTGGTTTCACATACACATTTTTATTCTTTACTCCCATGTACTAAATCTATGCATTTTGAATAAGTCAGAAAAAGAAAAACTATGGTTAGGTTAAACCTACATTATTCTTAATGTCTGTCACACAGTCTGTCTGTAGCGGTGCTATATTCTAATGGTTGTTAATATATTTGTTTTATCCCTATAACAAGATAATATAACTGATAGTTTTTGCTCTAATATGCTGATATGGTTGATTATTTTCCTGGAAACATCGAGAAAGTTGAATCCAACAAAAAAGACTTCAATCTGAATTCCTCTTCCTCTCTACTGACAGCATTTCCCGGCTGTGAGCGGGGCCTTCATGGATTCTCCGTACAATGGCAACACGTCCTTGCAGACGTCCACGTCCAACCTCAACGCCGGCTACTCTCGACCCTCAGAAGCAGAGGATGATGGGAAAGTGTCCAGTGACACCATTTGGCTGTGGATCGCTGTACTGGCAACCATTGGCAACATTGTGGTGGTGGCTGTGGTTTGCGCCTGTGCCTTCTGACAAGATGGAAGCAAAAATCCTGCTGCTGTTGGATAATGGGAAATACTGTATAGCTTGAAAGTATATTTTTCTTCAGAAATGATGTAAATAGCCTTACTTTTAGACTGATGATCTTAGATAAAGTGTAAGCTTTAGTTTGAGTTTTGAAAGGGAATTTGCATGGGATTCTTAGGGAACACAAAATTATTTCTTTATTTAAAGATTGAAATGACATCACAAATATGTCTGATAACTCCTTTTATTCAGTTCTACAGTGCAACAATGTTAAAAGAAAAGCCACAAAATTAAGGTTTAACACAATAACAAGAAGGGACTTCAAGAATGAAGATCTTACTTAAAATAGGCCAACTGGAAGACTTCATACCGACCAAATAAGACCACACACAGACAGATACTATGCATGTATACACTTTGTACCACATTTTATCAGACAGATCATCATCATCATCGTCTTATAAAACAAAGCATACTTTTATGTTACCCAGATAAGTTGCCATATCACTTACAGTACAGTATGTCTCATTTAAGAAGGACTTAATTCATTCTCTCAGATTTCCAGCAACCAGCAACTTCAATCACAATCCGTACATTATTCCAATAGCCTGAAACTATAGGAGCTTACTATTAAATTGACACTACATCAGCTGCTTCCTTAAGGACAGAGAAACTACATTCAGACAAACTTGTACTCAGGTCTGCCCTTTATAGTTTGAGATTTTAAATGGGTCACCGAGATTTTTTATTTGATCCTGCAAGTGAAAACAATATTAACATTTTTTAATGAGCAGTGGCCCTATAGCACAATACTAAATTTATTCATTGTGGATTCCAGGCTAAAAAAAAGCTGTGTCCTTAAAATAACAGTACTATGCTTGCCAATGGTCAGTTGGTTACGCAAGCCATGCTGGTGTTATATAAACCCATACAGCACTGGTTACACCACAAGCTCAGCAGAGGTCAACCTCAGAATTATAAGGATTAGACAAGATCATAGCTTGATCTCTTGGTGGATTCAGAAACCAGAGAGAGATCCACAGTTAGGGTTAGGGTTAAGTTAGTTTTGCGTCCTACAATAACCTGTTACATCCTCATGATGCTCGATCAAAGCACTGAACTCCAACCTGTATTGTCTATACTAGTCTTTTCTATTCTATTATTTTTATTCTTACATTTAAAGCACCCAGTATATTTGCTTGACTAACTCTGAATCCCCTATGCCTGTCCCCTTAGTTACTGTGGCTACACCTGCAAAGCTCCATTCATGGCACACATGCAGTTTTACAATGAAGACTTACTCAAAATTATTCTCAGTTCAATTCTCAGTTCTAATTAAGCTAACATTAGCTCCATCAGTTGGTGGAAAATGCAATTTCCACCAACTCTCTGGCATTTTAATGAATTGAGATGACTCGTTTCAAAACATGAAGCTTAAAGCTTAAAAATGCACTTAGAGGTTACATACATATATTGAGACTAAAGACTGAGGCTAAGCTGATTATGTTGCAAGCAAAAAGTCTGCATCCTCACCAGTTGATGATCCAGTGAAAAGACATGGAAATAAAGACACAGCATTGTTCATATGAAATGAAGAAATAGTTAGTATTATAAGGAAAAATTCAGATTAAAGTCATTCGGCTTAACTCATTCTGTGTTACTAACTAATCTAGGTGTTAGTAATGATATCCCTGATAAGGAGCCTGGGGTTGATAGAGTGTAAACTTTCCCATATAAAGAACAGGACAGAGATGCTAACATTTACTCTGATATAGCATCCGGAATCGACTTTCACACAGTGGGAAAATAGTACACAGTGGATTTAATGTGGTATGCAATGCTCCTTGGCCTTGGAGGTAACGCTTAGGTAATATACTAAAGCTTGCAGCTTGTGTTAAAGCAGACAAACATACTGTTTAATCCATTCCTTACACTGTCTAAACTTTATATATCAAGTATTTCTCTTACTATAGCACCATGTACACTGTTTCGGGATGTTGAGAAACCAAAAGCTTGACAGGCCTGCTGTGCCTAGTTATGGTTGCTAAGCTATGATTGGACAATTGCTGTGCGGGGGAGGGGGTAATGAGTGGTCAGTTATGACAATGTCATGCCATGACTAAAGCTTCTTTTTTAAATTGTTTCCATTACTTCTTTATAGTGTCCACACACATCCACACTGAGAGCTAATTTAAAATCTCCAGTTCATTGACATGAATGTCTTTCTCTCTTCTTCTTTGAAGAAACTGTAGCACCCTTTAAAAAGCCCAGAGGAAACAAATTCCATGTAGGAAGAAGCAGGGCTCAGCTGTGATTGAGCAGTGATTTGTTGAAATTTAACAAGCAAGGAAGGTCACGCAGGGGCATTCTGTCAGGGTTACTTTTTCCCCATTATAAGGATAAATACATCATTAAAAAGTGTAGTGACACTCTCTTTCAGCTCCCTCCAAATCACTCTTAGATTGTTCGTAAGGAAATGAAGGAATGAAGTGGCAAGGGTGGGAGAAGAAAAGGCAGAGAGAGAGGAGGTGGAGATACAGAACGTGAAGGAAAAGGGTAGATCATTTCAGGGGAAGTCAAAAAGCAAATTGAAGGAAAAAAAGAATAAAACGATAGCATTGTTCATCAGCCTGTTGCAGACTTTGTCTTCCTGCAGTTTGCTGTGACAAAAAACAATGCTGATGGAAGCAGTGAGACTGAATCAAAACTGTAAAGTTGTGGACCAGTATACCAGAACAAGGATCCGAAAGATGCTATAAATCTCCATGGAGCTGAGGGGAACTGCGGGGTAATAATTCTGTGACATTCTAGTATTCCAAAACCCAAATAGTCTAAAAAAATTTACCATCGGACCCAAAGCCCATTCATCTGACAATCAATGCTCATTCAAAGGCCTGTTGTTCCGAAAATTCACACCCTGGTATCACCAACTTACATACGTAACTTAACTGACTAAACTAACATAGTTATTTAACCCCAAATCATTATTATCATGTTTTTGGAAAAAACTGGCCTTCAAAGCCAACAGCAGCTTTTATATGAAATTAAATATGTGAGGCCATCAAGTACTATGTGAAACAGAAATCCTTTGAAATCAACACAGTCAGTAGTGGTAGTTCTATACGTACCCGTGCCACCATGCCGCCTCAGATGACTTATAAACATATTTATCTGCATCATGTAGTTTTAACCCAGTCAGAATAGATCATTCAGCCAGTGTCTTCCACTGTATGTGTTTATCTCTATCTCCCAGTTGAGATCCAGGCTGTGTGAACTGTCTCATCATCCTGTCAGTCCCCGGCAGAGTAATGAGATGTAATGCGCCTCTCGAGCTTACTATCCGGTTTTTCCTTTTTTCCCTCCCTCGCTTGATATCCCAGAGGGAAGTGTGCCCCAGCGGTTACTGGAGCAGTCAGAGCGGATTGAATCTCTGTGGTTCACTTTATTAGAAGATGATTTTACAGACAGAATAGAGCTAACTTCAGCCATAGAGAAATAATGTGTAACATTAGTCATCTGAGATAAAAAGTGGCAATGAGTGACACATAAAGTGAAAAAGGAAGATGAGAGGAACGATAATTAGTCAGGAAATGCTCATTTTCATTTGACAAGGAAAGAGACTATGTATATGAGTCGGAAATGAGTGGAAAGGATAGACGGTGGGTAAGAGGGGACAAAGGCAGAATGGAGAGGAAAGAGGTGGTGGAGGATGTTTGACAGATAAAAGAGCATTAATAGTAGAGAATGAGAATGAATTAGTAAAGTAGAGAAAGGACACATGAGTGTATGACAAGAGAAAAATCAACGACACAGGAGAAGTTAAGTGTACAGGTTTAAAAGAAAGGAAAGACAGATTCTGAGCATTATTAATGCCAGCAAATACTTTCATGTTATTTGATTCATATGGCTGATTTTTATGTCAGAAAGCAAAAGAAATCCATCTTTTAAGCATACAGGAAAAAACCTTTTAAACTACCAAGTTTAACTATGTAGTTAAAACTAGAAGTCATCAGTCCTCACCAATACCAGCAACCATACAGGACATATTCACAATAATTACAATAGACTGTGTGTTTGTGGTCTTTGTTTGGTTGGTCGAGGTGTCCACTGTTCACCACCTGCACTTTACCTCATCCAGCTCCTTCACTATCCAATCAGCAGCCAGTTTCTGTAGAGGCATGGACCTACATTATCAACCAATTAGACATCATCAGTGTGTATCTACCCGGTGATCCCAAGCTCTTGGAACTGACTCAGTGGACTACACAAAGAAGAAAGCATGTAAACATATGTTACTATGGACAAGACAATCTATAACACCCTCCACCCTGACAGTTATTCCCTCCATCTTACTGCTGACAAGACCTGTCTGCACAGTCACATGGAAGTGAAGGACAACATCTGTGCTGCAGTCCAACTCCAGATGCCTGTTGCCAACCCAGTAACCCCAGCGAATACACAAACCAGACAGGAGGTGAGACGTACAGTACTGTACTGTACTGGTGTGGTGCAGAAATGTGATGTAGGCCACCTTAATGAGGAACCAAGTTGTTGATGATGACAAAAATATCCAACATTAGGAGGTCACACTGTGGCCCTACCAGATAGGCCTATTTATATTGCAGTAATTCATCAAATGTATGCACCAATTTTGAAATACAATGCTTTTTTTAAATTCATGATCACATTTTTCTTTCTCCTAAAAAAAAAAAAAAAAAATAAAAAGAGCTTGTTAGCAGCATTAGTGTAACATCACTCAATGAAAGTGATGAGCCACTCTGCGGCAAATATTAGTCACAAAGAGCCTTTCTGCTTTTAAGGGATCATCCCCCCTGGGATTCATGCATTGAATCAAAGGTAATCTAAAAGTAACTAAAGGAGACAATCACGCCTACATTTTGTGGGAGAAATGACAAAACACACTTGTGTTGTTCTGAAAAGCTAAAGTTTAGTAAATGAATAAATTAACAGAACAGTATAATTTGTAATCTGAGTGGTATGAATTGAGACATTGCATAATGAATATTTTAAACAATAAAAAGGTCTTTAAAGTACACAATAACAGGAGTAAACCCTTTTGCTTTGTTTTTTTTTTTTTTTTTAAAAAAAGGTATCTTGCTCAACAAAGAGATGACATTACTAGGCCCCCAAGCAGCACTTTAAAGTGCTGTAAGTAAAGAAAATCCTCCACACTGGATATGAACCCAAGATGGCAGTATAACAATCTGCATGATCCAGCAACCTGAACTGACAGGATCTGAGCAGCAGGGGGTTCAAGTTCTCTGCTCCACTCAGAGTCTGAATACATCATCTGTGTTGGTCCAACAGTGTCACCCTGGATCAGTTTGTTGGGTTAACAGTAGTTTCACTCTAAGCCCAGTTTACCTTTTCAATCTTTGATGAATACAATTTACACTATTTTCATTACATCATTAGCTCCTTAGCAGCTGTAGAATAAAGCCTATGTAATTATTAATTATTGGTTCCTTATTTAAAAAAAGTACAATATACACAGTGATCTATTTGAATCATGTTGTACCCTCTGTTCTCTTCCTCCCTTCTCTTCCTCTGTCATCTCATACATCCCTCCTTTCATGCATGTGAGGCACCAGACCGTGAAGTCCACATTGTGAAACCCCCTCCTCTGTGCACACACGCACACGCACACGCACACACACACACACACACACACACACACACACACACACACACACACACACACACACACATGCACACACATACACACTGTCCTCACCAGACCTCTGACTCGTCCAATCTTTTCATCTCCTTTTTCCTTGGACATTTACATTTATGTAACTCATCATTAATATTGCAATAGTGTAGTCTCAACCTTCGGATCAGAGTGCTATGTGGGGTAGACTACTATGCAGGCGTGGTTGCTGGTGATTTCTCAAAACAATTTATTGATATTTGTTTGACACACTTTTTATTAAAAATGGTTTTCAAGTTGCCTGACACAGAATATTTACCAGACTGTGAAAACAGAGGGAATAAAAACTAAGAAAAGCAAAAGCTAGATAAGCTGAGTCATAAATATATGATTACAGATGTCCCTTAAAGTTTTAACTTTTAACTGAATATGCTTTCTGCTTCTGTAGAGATCCACACAGTCAATCTTTAAGGAAGAAGGACTGCAAACAACAGCTTGGAAAGGAGACTCATCTGTTTTCCCCAAAACAAACTACAAAAAAAACTACATTGAAAATCTTTCCTGGATTATAAGAAAAAAGGTACATGAAGATACAGATGTTTCAGGATGATGTTCTTCACCATCATACAGTATGGATTTGCAAGGAGAATGTGTAAAAACTGCGGCGGGGTGACATGAGGATCTTTTCCGGATGAGAAGACTGATACAAAAGGAAAAGTAACAACAGCCTATGATGGACAAATGTCTCCTAAAGGTCGTATTTGGTTGCAGGCCCACATCATACTCTCATCGACAACCCCAATGATAAAGAAATGTTTGAAGATCCCTTCCTTCCCCAAATATCCAATACCAAGGGGGTACTGAGTTATTAGGATATTTGGGAAATGTAGTTGCACAGTTCAAAGTGCTTCACCATTCAAATGACACAAATCCACATAAAGACTTTGCTGTTTGGAGAAGACAATAAAATAAGCTCGACTGGCTGTAACTACAGATTTCTTGTGAGGACAATTTGAGACTGGCAGGTCAGAGTTGTACAGATAAAACATCCAAACTCTGATGCAACTTGAATTCAAAATGTGTTTCCTATTTGAACAAAAATGAACACACTGGTGTTTAATCTTACAGATGGTTTGAACGGACTACTGTACGAATATGAAACAGTATGACTGTAAACTTGTGCAGCATTGTATGAATGATGGTTTTCTGGAGGAGGAGCAATGTTGATATGCTACCACTGCATGGCGACTAGCGGATTTCTTTCCTTCAACTGTCCTCCTTGATGGAGTAAACAATTTGCCTCCTGTCAGTCATTTGCACTTAAAAACAAAGCAAAACAAACTGCACTCTTAGATATATTAGTTAATATATGTGTCAGGTTTTGGCTTTAGGTTTCAATCTATATTTATATAATATGTTTTTAATCTATATCTTAGTTTGAAGTTTTATTTGAGGACTTCCTCTCTTTGTACATTTTCATTCATGCCATAAATCATATTTACTCGACTTCAAAGGACATTTTGTAAAGTTGGACCTTTCTACTGTATGACATTGACTTTTCTGTAATATAACTTCATTAAATTAATAGGAATATGCGATGTGTGTCTGTCCTATCAGCTTTATGAATGCTTGTCACTTTCAACTTATGGCAAAGTCATTATTCCAATTTCCACAATCTTTGTTACAAAACTCTGTGTAGTTCTACTCGCTGTTAACTTTTCTCTTTCCTGCAGAGGAGTGAAGGAGAACTTACAAGGACTGGCAGCACAATTGTAGAAGACAGAATAGTGAACAATTAGAATTAAATTAAATGTCACATTATCAGGGATACATTCATATAATTGCTCCTTTACTTTGTATGAATGAAGTGATCAAATCAGAGTGGTTGTACCAGCGAATCCTGACGCAGGCTAAATGGTAATTAATGGTAACATGGCTTCATCTTGATTTAGCTTCTTCTGATGTACTAATGATCACAGGCTTTCCTGTTTCAATAACACGATCACAGCTTCATTATACAGACATTAGAATAAGAATGTAATCTTTCTACCACAATAGTATAATCTTACCTTAACATATAACACACATTTATAGCTCAACACCCTTGAGAGTTTTGTAATAAGACTTTTTGTGTTTGGAAATACTGTTTGAGTTGTAAATGTATGTTTTATGTTGAGGTAAGATAACGTCATTCTATTGTAGTAGAAAGATGCCATTCTTCTTCTGAAGCTGCAATTCCATTAGTTGAAACAGGAAAAAGCCTGTAATCGTACATCAGAGGAAGCTACATAATCAAATGATGATGTGAACATGAAGCTTTAATGTTATCTTAATGGACTGTTGCCTCTCTTTAAAAGACTCAGATATTAGTTTAATGGAGCTGTGACATGTCCCTCCAGTTCCAAAACCATTAATTATTTGTACTCTGACTGAATCATGACACGTAGGCAACAAAGAGATAGAAGCTGGTAGAGTTTCTTTCTTTCTTTCTTTACTGTCATTGATTAGTTCACTCATTTTCTCCTTTCTCCACTTTTTTTCTCTCTTTATCCATTTCTTTGTCAGAAAGACAAATACTAGAGACAACAAACAGTTCTGTGTATGCTTGTTTGACTAAATATTCCTTTGAGTGTGACTTTTTGTGTGTCTTTGAGCTTCGTCAGGCATTGTAGAAGCGAATGATACTCAGCTTGTGTGTGTGTGTGTGTGTGTGTGTGTGTGTGTGTGTGTGTGTGTGTGCGTGTTTTTTGGATGTTAGCGCTTCAGGCTATCCCAGACACTCCATCTGTAGTCCTGCCAGGCATGGCTGTCTTTGGGGAGATAAGAGATCCTCCAACACATACAGATGAATTAATTAGTGTGCGAACACACACACACACACACACAAAGACAATGACACAAACAAACACAAGAAATCTATTATATTATTGAACACAGATTGATTCTTTTTTAATATTCATCAAGGTAACAGTGCCTTCAAAAATCAAACCTTTTCTTTTTATTTCCTTACATTTAATGTCACACCACCTACGGACTCAATATCATCACATACATTTGTGATTGTAGATTTGTTTGTTTACATTTTAAGGTTTACTTTTTTCACTGATAATGTTGGTTAGCATGACCAACCTCAGAGAGGAAGAGAAAAAACCAAGAAGCGTCCCTACAAACAATAGATATCGCTGATGGCCTCGGGAAGAGGATCACACGTTGTACAGAATCTAACCTTCACAATGACCAAATATGGGAAGTCCGAGTTGGAAAACACTGAAGATTGTCTTTTGCCAGTAAAGTAAAGCAATGTGTTTGGGTAACATTCAAGGTTGTAAAAGAACATATCTTGAAGAAAAACCATGACACTTGATCTACTGGAAGGAAAGCTGTTTTCTTACTGTGGCAGCAAAATAAGTGATCGCTGACTTCTCTGGCAGTATATTTAATCCAAGGAATTGGCCTGGAAAATAAAGTAGAAAGGGGATCAATGAATGATTAATGCAGATAATGAAGAATGAAGCAACAGTTTCAAGAACCAGACTGTTTGGTAAAATGATGTGATACGTTATAACTCCTTACTCCTGAGAACAGGGCTGCCTGACCCAACACCCTAATCTGTGAGGTAAACAAGATGTTACCCTGAAGACTTTCACCAGAATTAAGATAAGGCTAATTTATAATTTACAGTTCTATGTACCACAGTTTTGGAAAACAATAGTGAACAACCTTCCAAATGTAATTCTTTGTGTATAGAGCCAAAAGATAAGAAGCAAGAGAAACACATTTCATGATGAATGATGACTAAATAAATGATTTACCAATAATGTGTGCCATAAACATGTCACATTGGTTGACATTTATTTTTTATTTTATATATTTATGAAATATACTTTTAAATAGTACAGTTTGACTATTTTTAGAGGACAAAAGGTCTTTACAAACACCACAGTGTTTTTATTGAATAGTTGTACCAGTCAGGCTCAAAAATGTCTATATATGGTGCGAGAAGGGCAGAGGGAAACAATGATGTAAACTTGGCTCTCTTAGCCTCAGTTTTTCTTGGCAAGCAGGCTCTTTAGTTTTACCTTAGCAGGTCATTGTCACCTTAACAGTCAAATATGCTGAGAGGCCAGGGAAGTCTGTGCAGTAGCGAACACTCAGAGCTCTCATATTGACATTCACAATATATTATTTCATTGTACTGCGAGATTCAACAGCACATTGTGGGAATATCGATTGTGCTGTCTGACCATGCAAGTCCTCCAAGGAATTAAATATTGGACAAATCTGTAGTAAACAACTTATGTCCAGCGCCAACATTTAGTCTCAGTGAAAGTAGTGACCTTTAAGGTGAAAACAGGGGTGTGGAGGTTGGGGTGCGCCACCAAGGATTCAATTGCTGAAAACCGGGATCTGCCACACCTACACAGTTTTGACAAATGGTCTAAAGAGCAAAGTGAGCAGTTTTCTAAAATACGTTTTTTGGCTAGTTATGAACATTTATTTTCACTCAGTTTTTTGTAGATACTTAATTACACAATCAACTTTGACATCATATATGCAGTTTTACTATTCCAAGCCACATTTCCAGTGGCTTTAAATCAATGTAAGGCAGCCGCTTTGCCTCCAATATACAACAACTGCTGACTTACTGTATGAGTGTGTAAGAGAATAAAGTCTGAGTCAGTGTGCTGGTTGCCTTAATAGCATCTGTGTGTGTAGGTGTGTGTGTGTGTGTGTGTGTGTGTGTGTGTGTTTGTCTGTCTTTTCCAGTAAAGAATGACTCACTGACTCAGTCATTCTAGTCATTTTAAAGATTAGAACATTTTACAAGCTGAGTATAAACAATGTCTGCAGAAAATACTTTTTAGTTGTTACGTGGCACAGGTCTGATCATGTCTTAGCAGATCTGATCTACTCATGGCTTCATAACTTTGTAGACTTTCGTTTTCCAGTGCAAACAGCAATGTAAAGCTCTGACAGGATTTTATGAAAAAACAAATACTCAACTGACTTGGTCATAACAAAAGTATTGATATACTGATCCAGGAAGACAATATCCTGAGAGACCACATATGAGTACCTTTATTGTTCATTACATACCTGTTTATTGTGGTGTTTTTGTAGGTTCTGCAATGAACTTAGCAATGCATATTTCAGTTGTCATGCGCCAAAGCATGCTAATTACACAAGGGGAATCCATTTTATTAAAATCCAGCAATAAAGAGATAGCTGACCTTTTTGGCGTATTTGTCTGGTATATTAATCGGATGCCACAATCACCTCAAGTTAATTCAACAATATAAAAAAAAACATCTCTAATGAGGTTGTGATGATCATTTTTACAAAAAAGGTTTAGCCGAGTAATATACGGAAGTATTTGTTGCATGCAGAGCAATGCATTTGTATTTCATATTTAATAACAACGATTTATCAACAATTTGTCATGTTAAAGCAGCAACAAGGAAGTTTTCATTTTCTGAAAACCGGTATCCAACTGAATCCGACTGGCTGGCAGGCATTCAGAATACTTTTTTAGAAATAGTCAGTTATCTGGCTGATAGTTTTGTTTGTTTTAAGTTATATAGAGACATCAGTATCAAATGGAGACTGTTTAATAACCAGCTGAAGACTCAAAGTAGTGTGTTTAAGCCATTAAACATGTGATGAATCCTGAAGTTGGGTAACATGATGAAGTGCCCATCGTTCTGTTTAATCTTGGGAACGTCTGGCTGTAGATGTGTTTCTATCTGAGAGTGCAGAGTGATGAAGTGTCTGACAGACAGCCAGCCAGATGGGAGTCACTCTCTGATCTGAAAGGTGGCTGCACAATAATGAGACACAGATGGTAGTGGTATGTCACACAGAAACACACACACACACACACACACACACACACACACACACATGCACACACAAAATATGCAGATACACACACTACCCGTCCCCTAATCTACAAAATGCTCAGTAAACTGTGAAATTTCATTAGCATTTTGAAAAAACAATTTTTTAGTTCAATATCTGTTTTTAAAGGTTCCGTTTGTAGGATTTGGTGGCATCTAGCGGTGAAGTTGCAGATTGCAACCAACTCGCCTCGACCTCCCCTTTCAAGCTTGTAGGAGGAACTACAGTGTCTGTGAAACTTGCCAAAAAACATGAAAGGCTACTGTAGAAACATGGTGTCTTCCGTGGAAGAGGACCCACTCCCTCTGTAGATATATAAAAGGCTTATTTTAAGGTAATGAAAACACAATGACTCTCATTTTCAGTTGATTATACACTAATGAAAACACACCCATGAATATTATATTCCATTTCTGCCATTTTGGGCTAGTCGAGGGCAGAAACCATAAGTTCGAACACAATACTGACGTACTATCACCTCCTAAATTGGGTTTCAAACAATTGCCTATCTAGCAGGCACAGAGCAACATTAGCATTCATTAAAAGATGTGTTTCTGGCCACAACCAGTCGATTGTAAGCATTTAGTTCTGTTTTGGTCTCCACCAACTGCTATGGGAAGTGTTATCACTGCTAAATGCTCCACTATGTTGAGCAGGTATAGTCGCTAGCTGTTTCTGTCTACAGTTTGGTGCTGAACTGGTAATGCACAGTGGGGTTTTATAGCTGTTTTTGCAGAAAACAGCTGCTTGCCGTGGCCAAAAAGACATAATGAGAGCAGTGAAAGTGAACCAAGACTAAGCTCTGGGCCAAACCAAAACGATGAGCTGAAATGCTGAAGTGCTCCGTAGATCAGAGGGGGACTTCAGTCGGGTGATAAATGTCTGTGGGTTCACTACAAACGACCCCTTGCACAAGCAGTCATGTGATGCAGGGTTAATATACACATTTTGATTATAGCTGCTTTATAAGTCATGAGAAAATGACAATATGCAGCCACAAATACTTAAAGCAATGTAATTAGATACAAAAGTTGGCGGGTTCTCCTCTTTAACATAAGACTTTGGATCTGTGCCTGGAGAATCCATTGGTCTCTACTTCCAGCACACGTCCTGATTCATCTGACCACACATACACACACACACACGCACACACACACACACGCACACACACGCACACACACACACACACACACACACACACACACACACACACACACACACACCAATGTGAGTGAGTCTGTCTGGAAACAGTAGAGACAGAGAGGAGGTCTGGGAATGCTGAAGGGGGGGGGAGGAGAGAGGTGGAAAGTTGCAACTTCAGGGCAATATGCACCGCATGCTATGGGAAGGAATGCATGTGTCTTTGTAGGAGAGTGAAAGAGCAAATGAAAAGAAGAGAGGAGGAGGAGGAAAGAAGCAAGGAGGGAGGGATCTAAGCTAAGGCTGCAGCGTGGCTGTGTGTCTGAATGAAAGAACCTCTCTCTCCCACTCTCTCCTGCTGTCTGTATGTATGGCTTATGTCCGCTGCAGCGAGTGAGCACATGTCCCGAGCAAACACAGCAGGACTCTCCAAGTGGCTTCAAGCTGGAAGTAAATATTTTGCAGAAACTTTGGCTGAAGGTGCAACTTAAAATATTCAAATGCTTTTGAATTGTGTTTCCTTTTCTAAGAAGCTAGATTACTTCATAGCAATGTGACTGCTTTTTTTCCTTTCTTTTTTTAGGATTGCTTGTTAGTATCCAGAAAATAACTTATTTTTGAGGAAGTGTCATGTGATGGACATAAAGTTTTAGTAACTCAGAAATTTAGAAACTTGCTCTCTGTCTCTCTCTGTTTTTTGATCCCCATGTGTTTTTTGTGTGTGCAGATTCTCTATAAACTGAATAACAAGGACTGAATCTCTCCACATCAACAGGACTCTGGGAGATTGGCAGCTCCACGCACCACCTGGACATCTCCTCACCATCAAAAGAATTCACTGGATCAGTTTGACCTTATTTTACCGTATTTACACACAGAGCAATTCTGTGCGCTTTGTAGGTCTCGGGCCAACTTGCAGGCAGGTGTGATGCTGGATCAGTGTGTTTGATACACACAGTCACACTTCTACACACACACACACACACACGGTTGCCTGAAACCAGGACATCAAATGAGGACATCCAATACTCCAAACCTTTTCAGAAAAGCTAACTTTGAGTCTCCTGCCTGTGTTTGACAGATGCTGGTGGAGATGTAACATGTAGATTGTCTTACAACAAGTCTTCCCTCTTCTCACACATTATAGTGAAATATTACATTTACTGCATCATTGGGTCAAGCACCAAACTATCCTGAACTGAAAGACAGCATCTTCCACACCATGACCCTACAGACCTGTAATTTGCAGCATGCCTTCCTCCCTCACCTCCTTCTCCTCATCCTGATTTTCCTCCTCCACGCCTGGCGGGGGTGCTGTCATCCCCAGTGTTTGGACTACAAGCCTCCGTTTGAGCCCCGGCAGCCATTGGTCTTCTGCAAGGAGTATTCCAAGTTTGGATGCTGCGATCTGGAAAAAGATGAGGAGATATCAGTCCGATTTTACAAAATCATGGAGAACTTTGACCATTCAGGTTACGTAACCTGTGGCAAGTACATGCGCAGCATCCTATGCCAGGTAAGAGAGACACTATTTTTCTGTTTATATATGTGGCCAAGGTCTCCTCTCCAGATGATAAACATTTGTTTTTAATTGCATTTGATTTTGATGTGACTCTACAGGATTTTATAAAGCAAAATGGCAATCTGAAACAATTTCATCACACACACCTGCCCTTTGCTAAAGCAATGAGAGACATAGGCTACATTAACACTGGAAGCCTTAGCACTCAATTGTGTTTTATTTCTCAGATCCGATTTTTTTGCTTTGTTTGTTTTGCTGTTAAAATTTTTAAATATATCAGATTCCAGTATGAACTGGTCATGGTCCTGAAGTGACCCGCAGGGCTAATGTAGAGCTAGAGGGCCGTGAGTCATGTGAATTCTGATATGACTGTTCACACTGAGGTTGCACTGCAAAAAAATATGACCTGTATCTGAGTTAAACCACATGAAAGTGGCCCAAATAAGAATGAAAAAGATCAGATGTGATTTGTGCTGTTCACACTCTCATGAATAAACAGATCTGAGTCACATAAGAGCAAAAAAAAAAGAAGAGAAAATCAGATTTGGGTCACTTGTGTGAACGTACTCTTAAAATCATTTTTTACTGTGGAATCCCCACAAACCATTTCCACTTTGTAGTGACTTTACAGTCCCAGATTTGTGAACCTTAATATGTCTCTCATGCAAGGTGTAAATTTGTCTGACTGCGGATGTTTGTAGTCCCAACCCAGAAACTTGGCTTTGGTGTCCAATGTGTTACACCAAGACGTCTTTAAGATTAGCACAGTGTGCATATTTTGAGCAGTTTATTTAAATTCAAGAGCATTCATTTCTCTGGTTTGTTTTGTCAGGTAATAATAATGCTGTTTATATTTCCGTGGGAGCTAAATAACTACAGAAAACTGAACTGAACTGAACTTCTGAAAATACAGTTTTCTGCCTCACTGCAAAGGAAACTGTGGTGTGGTTTGTCAGTGAGAACCTTATCTCAACAAAGTACAGCAACCAACAAAACACGTGGTTTAATGGCTACATGGGAATGTTGAGCTCTGTTAGACAGCACTTACTCATGCTTGGAGAGCTAAACCACAGCCTTAACTAGTGTTCATGTGTTTTTGATGGGTCATCTTGTAATTGGGGTTTGTGAAACTAAACAAGCCAAATAATGGAGTGCAATAAAGGAAACTTTCCTTCTCTGATTTGAAAGAACCTGAAGTGACCATTTGAAGGGAACATGACAACTAAGTCCACAGCTAAAACTTTGAAATAGAATTTGTGATATAGTGGCACATATGTAATAATAAAATGTCTCAGCACACCAAATTATTGGCTTGAAATGGTCAAACAATGGCTTGGCTTACATTTTCTTATGTAATCCACAAAAAGTAAACTACACTTCATCCATTCCAGATTTCCAGGAAACCTTGTTTAGTTTCTTTTCTCACAGACATGAGTGAGCTGGACTCCAGACCCTGAGGCCGAATGAGCATATGAGAAAAAATTGCAGCGCAATTTGAAAACACATTCATGCTTTTTCCTTTTTGGTAATTCCAAGAAATACACTTTACAGATTTAAAGGCCCAGTGAGTGGAATTACTTTGTATCTAGCAGTGTAGTTGCAGATTGCAACTCACACCATTAACCCTCTCTTTCCAAGCATGAGGGAGAAACTATAGTGTCCGAGAAAACGGGGGGAAAAAAGAGAACTAGAACCAGTTTTGGTTTGTCCAGTCTGGGCTACTGTAGAAACATGGTGGTTAGATTGCGACCTGCAGCGTCTGAAGATGAAAACAGCTTATTCTATGGTAACGAAAACACAACAATTCAGGTGTTACACTAATGAAAACACCTATGAATATTATTTTCTATTTTTGACGATAGAAATCCCTAAATATTACACACCAAACTTTTAACTACATCATCAGAAGAATCTGAATGTTGTAGACTTTAGCTATCAAGCGTATCACGTGAAGTCTCTGTACTAAGTTGTAGATGGGAAAACTGAATTCTACAGAAGTCTAAATGACAGCACACAAATGGAGTATATAACACAAAATGATGCAAAGAATCAGCACTGAATTAGTCTGAACATAATGAAACTTAAAAGCAATGACTCATGCTGAACTTGCCAGACAAAACTCAAGTTAAATGTTACTATGATAATTTTATCAGAACTGCGATAAAATCACGCAATTTCCTCAGAGTGGGATTACGGTCTTCATTAATGTTATTTAATTCATTAGTATTTATATTTCAGTATCACTACGTTTTTAGTTTCTTTTCTCAGCTTGCTAATCTTAGCACTGAACTTCCACCTCTCCTCCTCTGGTAGAATGAGCCTTGAAGCCAGTCCCACACACTGATTGCATAATTAGGTGCTGACTGGGCAGCTCAGACACTAACTACGTGCAGCTCGTGAGTGCAAAATGAAAGATAGGTGTGGCACAAATTTGGTCTGGCCCATATACTTTAGATACAATCTCCATTCTGCAGAAGCCAAGACAAATGGGCTGTGGGCAGTCCCACGAATAACACTTTGTCATTTCATCTTTGATACAAACACCAAAACAATGGGACAAAAAAATATTTCTTGGCAGTTTAATACGTCATACTCTATGTTAAGACAGTGACAAATCATCCTAAAATATAGGTTTCTATCACTGTGGTAATTACAGCCCACTGTGGGTTCTTTCCAAGCAGCGCAGGCTGTGTCTTGAATGTAATGACAGCGTTGCAGCACACGTACAACTTGCAACAGTTAGTCTAGTTTGAGTAAGATATAATCCAAAAAACGCAAATATGTAAAGCTTAGAGAGAAACGTATTTTGCAGGCATACAATTTATTCATTTCTTAAAAGTCTTAAAAGTAAACAAAACTATTTTGGTTTCTAACATTTTATAATCAAATAAAGTGAATTTACATGAGTTCTGTGGCTGTTGTTTCATTGAGTTATCAATTTTTTTTTTTCATAATCACTTTATTTAGATTTTCAAATCTTCTTTGGAGCCACTAAAAAAGACGCTCTGTGGTTGTTGGCTCCCAGTTTGATGGTTTGAGGCGAAATGATCCCTGGAGGTGGTCAAGTTACCCTACTGCCAGGGCACTTAGCTGGGTAAACCCGCCACACTGAGGCCCTCTGTTCTAGCTGCGCTGCGGGAGCTTCCTGGTACTGATATCAATGAGACAGTGAAGAGAGAGACAGACAGGTGGAGAGAGAGACAGAAGGGTAAAACGAGTGTGTGTATGTGTGTGTGTGTGTGTGTCAGGGAGACAGGAGGGAGATTGTCATCGTCCCCTAGCTTAACTGACCAAACAAACAACCATTTCCTCTCCTGGCCCGGGGTACAGGATATATCAAGTTCCTGTACGAGAGAGAGAGAGGGTCAGAGAGAGGAAGATGAGGAACATTAAGACAGTGAGAAAGATGGATGCAGAAAATCGATAAAGATATAGTAAAACTCCATAAAGACAGACAGACAGACAGACAGACAGACAGAGGGAACTTTCCTTTTTCATTCACAGTAAAGAAACCAAAAAAACAAAAACCCACTTGAGGCCACTTCAAAACCATTCACTGAGCACGTGGTTTGATTTAATTGTTCCCCCTGCATTTTAATGAGCAGCTTTAAGTGCCCTGGCAGTGTTTCTGCCAGTGAGGCTTCCTCTGACAGCAGCAGAAAAGTTGCATGTTTCCATACAGCACATTAATGCACCATACCACAACAAATCTCAAACACACAAACGCATGCAGCATCTGACAGTTTACCTCCCCCCCCCCTTTTCTTTCTGTCACCACGATCACAACTACTTCTCCATCCTTCTCCAGCTATGATTTAGTTGGATACGTTTTAGGGAAGTTGAAGTTCAGTTATCTCTCTTTCCATTCCATTTTTTTTTCTTTCTATGGGGGTCTAATTCAGGTCCAGGTTCACACATTTACCAGCCATCTGTTTGCCGTGACTGTCCTCTCTCTTAATTATAATAAAAACACCATCATGTGAACTGCATCATGGGGAGTCAGGAAGACAAATAACTAAAAAAAGGCTTTTTTATTTTCTTTTTCAGTCTATTCTAAACTGTACAGCGTAAACATCAAATTATAGTAGTTTGAAGTGGCTGCATTGTTAGGGAACAGCTGTTGGTAGTTACATGCATTTATCCTACCCTATGATAGTAGGAGCCAAAATAAGACTGTCTCAGAACAAAGGCTGTTTTTTCATTTATTTTTATTATAGTGGGTCAAACTGTGATGGATCATTTTCCTGAATAAGACGCACCATCAGACACCTTTGTATTATCTGAATGACTCTTGCTTTAATACAGTGTCCTACCGTAGACTACAAGATAAATCCAACATTTGGAAGCGCCATTAATTCATGCTTTCATCAACAGAACCAGCAGCTGAACACAGCTTTTGTTTTGCCCTGTAAAAGCTGTTTCCCAGGAAGGCTCTGATCTCTGCCCAGAAATGTACTTTCATGTCATTTAACAGTCTTTCTCTTTTTTTGGTCACCTATGATTTATTTATTATTTATTATTTTTAGCTTTGGTTCATTTTAGGGTTCCATTGAGGTGGAACAGCAGCTGAAGTGAGATTGTATCTCTTATATACAGTATTATGTGAAAAATATTTATATACTATTATATTCAGTATGAGGTCATTATGAATTATCACTTGCACAATCAAAATTTAGGAAATCAGTACACAGGCATATTTTGCTAATTGAAAGTCTGAATTAACTAATCAAATAACTGAATTATGTCAAGAAATCAAAGTATGGAGAAATAAATGCACATGCAAACATGCATTGAATGATTAATAAACCAACACATACTACAAAGAGATACTTACATCACCTACTTGTACATGCACCCACACTCAGACTCACAGCCACAAACTTTCTTTCTTTTCCATCTCTGTTGTATTCATAATTAATAATGTGTCATAGTTAATGGGGATTTTTGAGCTTGACACACATAAAGAAATAAACGTGGGAATTATTTATAAGCAGTTGATCCATGTACAATCACAGACACACATGCAGTGTTGTATATAGAGTTTGATTGTGTAGGTGCACAAATAAAGAACAATTTCTTGTATTTTTGCATTTTTGTTCGTATGTGTTAACTCAAGGGGTACATTTGTTACAGGCGACAGCTTTTGTTAGTTAAATCAATTTTGAAGTCCCTTTGAGACTAAATTCATTACGTGCAAAGTTGTTTTGAACAATCGCAGTAAGCTCCTTTCATAAAAAGATCCATCTTAACACTGTGACACAATGCAACGGAAACTTGACCCATATTTATCTGTGCTTGGGAAATAAGAGACAACAGCACATTTGGTTCCAAGACCTATAACTGCTATGTGGACTATTACTGTAAGAGTCAGTCTCTTCTGATTTGTGCTTAATTATTTAAAAACACAATTTCAAGCATCACTTATGACCCACTAGAAGTTTGTGGCGATGTATCTGGATTTGTATTTTCTTTTTGTGCTGTGTTTCTTTGGGCAGGAAGCCCACAGCCAGGAAGCAACCAGGTGAACATAAGCACGAATCATAGAGGAAGCTACGGTGTTGATGAGCCAGGGAGGAGGGGCCAACATTGAATGTTGTGTTTATTGTTGTGCAACCAACCATCTTCAAGATTTTGCCTCCAGTTACTTTTTTGCCTAAATACCATAAATGTTCTTTGGAAAAGTCTCCACAAATTATCCACTACAAATGTCATGTCACTCTAAAATGTTAGATTAAAGTCTAATTTTTACCATCATTATTGATCCCATTTTGCGTTAGGAACAAACAAAACGTGACAGATACTGCACTTGAAGCTCAAGCCTTGAGTCACATTTGTCTTCTACCAAACATTTTATGAGTAACTAAGTGATCTTTTAGTGCTTTGGACTGTGTTTCCTGGTGATGATCGGTTAGGCTGATCTGGCACTGGGTAAAAGTGCAAGTCGACCGCATGACAGTTTGGGTGTCGTGTCTCCCTGTGCCGTGCAGTTCACCATTCTGGGTGTGGACGGTGTGGTTGTGACTTAATAACTGACTGGACGTTCCTGGGATCCATTTATACCAGGCTGCACTCAGACAGCCTGTATATAACCCAGGCCTGACCAGTCATAGTGAGGCGGTGAGGAGCTGCGGTGGAATAAGGACACAAATGTTATACTTGATCCATACATGCCCTTAACTCTATCTCTGAGATAAACATATCGACTTAAAAGAGGGTTAATAAGCAAAACACTGAGTAAGATCTCTATAGATGGAACCAGAAATATAAAATATGCATTTATTCTAATTTTTTATCGTTAAATCATCTTCTCTATGCAGGAGTGTTCTCCATACGCTGCCCACCTGTACGATGCCGAAGATGCTAACACACCTATGCGGATGCTGCCTGGACTGTGCGGCGATTACTGCTCCGACTACTGGCATCAGTGTCGGTACACCCTCAGTCTCCTATTGGAGGACCTGGGGAGCCCGCAGCAGTTTGCAAACCTGACTGCAACGATCGAAGAAGATCGCAGAAGGTTCTGTGACTTTCTGGTGCTGAAGGACAACCAGTACTGCTATCCTAATGTAGTTACAAATGCAGGTATGGTGTCTACACACAGACGGCAGACCCACACGCACACATACCCATGAAAGTTCAAACATGTCATGTGAGGTTGAGTTGAGGGAAACCATACAACTTATATGATTACTCCAACTTACATCAACAGCCAACATGAACAAACAGGTTGTCACAGACTGAGAAAACAGGACATCAACTAAATTCCCAATGGCAAGAACCTGAACTTGCACTAACAAGAAATTGTAATTACTGTATTATTTATGAGCAGACATTGCCACTCCTTGCTAGTCTGCACACAAGGTTGGCTGTGGTAAAAACATAAGCAAGATATAAGAAGAATTTGCCTCCATGGTTGCAGCAAAGATATTATGTCAAAGAACAGAAGCATGGTTAGAAAATGAATACAGTGATGGTGCTAGTGCATGAATATTTTATATGCCGTGCTAATATTGTGTGAATTGGAAGTTTAAGGTGTTGAAAGGGATTATGTAATAATTCTGGTCCAGATTCTGGCAGTAGTACGTCTATTTGCTGGTTAATGGTAACCTTAAGAAACCAGGAGAAAGGAAGCTGTACGAATACAATCAATCCTCTGTTTTGTGTGTTTATACTGATCCATTAATTGTATCCTATTACTCCTGGTTTCCTCTCTCATCTCCTGTATCTTCTTTTCTGCCCCCAGAGCTAAATGCTAACCTTGGCTTTGTACGTGAAGATCCCAAGGGATGTCTGGAGTTGTGTTTACAGGAGGTTGCCAACGGGCTCCGTAACCCTGTGGCCATGATCCACGCAGACGATGGAACTCATCGATTCTTTGTGGCGGAGCAGCTCGGTTATGTGTGGGTGTATCTGGCCAGTGGCTCCAGGATCGACCGCCCATTCCTCAACCTCACCAGGGCTGTGCTTACATCGCCGTGGGCAGGAGATGAGAGGGGATTCCTCTGCATAGCCCTACATCCAAGGTTCATACTCTCAGTAATAATAGTAAAGTTACCTGTAAGGGTTATATAGTTGTAGTAGTAATATTTTGCATCATTTTCAGTGGAAAAGTGTGAAGTATGACTGCTTCTGGTTCTCTTCTGTGCATAGGTTCACCACGGTCAGAAAAGCCTACGTATACTACTCTGTATCTGTCAAGAAGGAGGAGAGGATACGGATCAGCGAGTTCACACTTTTAACTCATGATGACAACCAACTAGACCACTCCTCTGAGAGGTAAAGTTCAGAGTCAGAGAAACACATGTGGAAACAAAGAGACAGAGATTTTATAAATATTTCTATTAGTCTTCTAGTTCTAATGGTATTTGTAAGTTCTGGTATTGGTACCTGTATGTGAAGGAGGATTTGTTTTCAATGTCTATACAAGCACAGATGCTTGATGTATGTATTCATCCACCTGTTGTGTGTCTTGATTCAGAACCATCCTTGAGGTGGTAGAGCCGGCATCCAATCACAATGGAGGACAGCTTCTATTTGGCCATGATGGGTATTTGTACATATTTATAGGTGATGGTGGCAGAGCTGGGGACCCATTTGGAAAATTTGGCAACTCACAGAACAAGTAAGTATCATTTAACAAATGTTGTTTATGGAAAGTGCTTGATTATGTTGACTTAAATTTCAATCAACATTTGCTTGGAAAAGCCCACAAATTAAGTTATTTTAACTCAAGAACATTAAATTATTGTGACGCACATATACAATATCTAAAAGTGGCATTTGAAACAAATCACTTGTCTAAAATGTGGCCATAAGAAATAATTCATTTTTATGTGTTGATTTCTATTTTTAAAAACGTTATTTTTAAAATGAATCTAAATACTATATTAAATTTGAAAGCATTTGACACCAAACTGGAGCCAGGCATTTCATGCCCCGGTTCCTAACACTTCACATCAAGTTGCTGAAGTAGCACACTTTTGTTGTAACAAAACATGTCTTCATGCCATAACAGCCAACTTGAAAATTAACGGCACATCTATGACGTGAGTTTGACTCGTAATTGTCTCTCCTTGAAACGTTTCAGCTTTATATGTAATTTAAATGAATATGGCCAAATAAGATAAACACATGCTTTGGATTGCTCTAGGAGGTTGTTAAAAGTTTTAATGATAAAGGTGTTCATCGTATAAAATATTACCAGACACCTTAGAACCAGCCAGTTCTGCCAAAAAACAGTTCCTGCCTAAAATTAATTATAATTAAGTCCAATGAAAAGGATCAAAATTATGGAGAAGATAATCTTCAGACCTGTGTAGACCTTTCTCAGTGGCAACTATAAATGATAACTTTTTAAAAACAGTTTTTTTCCACTTATGAAAATACACACAAACTGAGGATCTTCCTGGGTGGGGAACCTGCTCTTATAACTTAAAGTATCACTTTAAAGGTAAATATGAGTCATTTGTGTACACAAGTTATCATAAATATGTAAACTTCACACATGCCAGAGCACTTTTTAAATTCAGACTCCAATAATCACTTTTCTGTACAAACTCTATGGTTCACTGAGAAAAGCTCAAATATGAGGAGCGTTGAATGCTTTTGGTAGGGACTGAGTAATTGCACTAACAGGGCTAAATGTAATCCTGCTGCCAAAGATTATTGCATGAGCAGTGTGAATGAACTGTCCAGTGATTAGGAGAGATGGGACTTTCCATTAATAGACTACATAGTTGAAGTAATGGTGAGCAAATGTCAGACTGCAGAGCATCACATCATATTGTATTACTTACATTTTTAGGGCAGCATACATAGATAGTGTCATTGATTGACAGTTATTATTTTCCACTTTATGGGCAGAGATGACCTGTTGTTCTCACACTTTAGGCTTTAGGAATGAAAAATAAAATAACAAACCAATCACAATCACTATCTGGTGCGAGCTGTAACATAAAAATCAAGGAGAGGTGGCATGATGTGTTTGTGCCAAGAGCAGTGCACACATCATTTATAAAAGGAGCTTTTATTAAATTCATTGTAGTTGTATCTTAAGGCAATGTGTGTTTGTGTCCGTATGTTTGAAACCTGTTTGTGCTACACACATATATGTGGACGCTATTATGTGTATGTCTGTAAAGAAGGTTCATTCAGCTATAAGCTACAGCTGCATATCTTCATTTTCATGCAAAGTACAAAAAGATAGCAAGTGCAAATATTACTGCTCATTTGCAGAATACACATTACATAATACTCCAAAAATGTTATTCACAATAATTACACTGTGAGTTGTGGAGCTGACACATACTTGGACAACAGTTATGGGTTAAGATGTGACTATGAAATCAACTTGAAACAATTAAATTAACTAAAAATAAAAACAGCCTTTTTTTATCCTTTAAGTTCATAGAGAGGCTAAAGCTAAACTTGAATATAAATTGTACTGTTTCTCACAAAAAACAGACCAAAATTAGCAAAGAACTGTGGCTGAGGAAACCTCCTGATGAAAAGATTAAGTTTAAGTATCAGCAGCAGATTACTGACATAACAAAACACTGAGCGAGGTGTTTATCTGAGATGCTGACACCTTTTCTCCAGACAGTTAGTGTTTAGCTCTTTAGCTGTTTCTGAGGGGTTTTGTTGACATGCTGTATTAGCTGTTCTGGGAATGGGGGAGGATACACCCTGCCAAGTCTAACATTGACACTACACATTGCGGACCGCCACACACTGGTATGTGGAAGGGAGAGAGAGAGAGAGCGCGAGAGAGAGAGAGAGAGAGAGCGAGAGAGAGAGAGAGAGAGAGAGAGAGAGAGAGAGAGGGAGACACACAGAGGCGGGATTGGAAAAGAGTGGAAAGGAGGTTTAAGGAGAGAGCAACCAGGGCAGGAGAAAGGTGCAATGTTAAGGAGAGAAATACTTGAGACTGGAAAAAGAAGGAGCTGGTCAGATGGAGCAAGGGTAGTAAGAAAAGAGGAGAATGACCAAAGACAGGAGTGTTAAAGGTGTGCAAGGTTGTAGAACAGAGTTACAGAGACAAAGACGAAGATGCGAAAGAGAAAAGATTTATGGAAAATAAAAACTAGGGAAGGTTAATGCAGAGGAAGATACGTATAAAACGAGGATGATGGGACAGCGTGAGCAGACTTTGGAGATAAAGAAACACAAGTTAGAAAGAAAAATGAACACCTCAGTCTTGAAGCCTCTTTCTCACTCTGTCATCTACTCTCTGTGTTGTAGGTCAGCGCTCCTCGGCAAGGTGCTGCGTGTTGATGTCGAGGACAATGACAATGGCGCCCCGTACAGTATCCCCTCAGACAACCCGTTCTTGTGGGAGAAGGAAGCACGACCTGGTAAATCCCTTCAAATATTCTATACAATTACGTTTGTTGGCTTTTAAGAAAAACAGAACATTTAAGACAAATGGCACAATTGTAAATATTAATCTAGACTTTATTTATTTTATTCTTTTCTAAAGAGCTCAAGTGTGACTGACGAAAACATGACTCAGCAAATGAAAGTGAATCTCTAAACATAAGGTTTTTTGCGGCAACGTGTAAATAACTTTCTTCCCCTCTCTGCAGAGGTTTATGCCTATGGGGTTCGCAACATGTGGCGCTGCTCCATTGACCGCGGTGACCCCGCTACAGGCCGAGGCAGAGGCAGGATGTTCTGTGGTGACGTAGGCCAGAACAAATATGAAGAGGTGGACATCATTGTCAAAGGTGGGACGATTTTAGTTGGCCTTCACTCCACTCGCTGAGAGACAAAGAAATAGTTCACTCTTGCATGAGATGGCTGTCATTCCAACTGTTCTCTCAAAGACCACACAGACAGTGAGTCAGACTGTTTAATCTCAGTCTTTTCCCTAACAATTAAGGTGAATGGGATCTGGTTATGTAGAAATCCAGAAAGGGTATGGCATAAACATCCAATTACAGTTTCTTTTTCTAGCCAAACAATAGTACTGTGAGTCTTTTCATAGTATATTCACTTATTTAGAAAGAATAGTACAAAAGATATTTCACTGAGAAGTTGCACTAACTTTATCAAAACATGTTTAAAGGAGGCAACTACGGATGGAGGGCCAAAGAAGGCTTCAGCTGCTACGATCGCAAACTCTGCCAAAACTCCTCGCTAGGTGAGGCCACTCTCATTGACTCTGGAGTCCATAAACTGAAACATATAAATACAAAAAAGGGGCTTCTGCAGAATGGTTACAGATGTGAGCTTTGACACACTTCAAAAAAATGGTTAAGGATTCAATTGTTAAGTAATATTCCTAGAAAAGGTTATGAAAGCTTTGTTGGCTCAAGCGCCTTTACATAAGCCTCTAAATACAATGCATATTTCTTATTCAGTGTACAGCATGCCGCTATAGTATTGTCTTTTTGTTATAGTGATAGACTGTGTAAACTGATGTGTTGTTCTATGTCTAGATGACATCTTGCCTATCTTTGCCTACCCCCACAAGTTGGGCAAATCAGTGACAGGAGGATACATCTACAGAGGTTGTCAGATGCCCAACCTCAATGGGCTCTACATCTTCGGTGACTTTATGAGTGGGTATGTGCTTCAGCTTTATACTAAAATCTTAGTTTTAGACATTTTATTTAGACAAATTCTCGCCCATCACTGCAGAGACCCAGAGTCCAATTCGTGGCAGCGGTAATTGCAACATTATCACAATGTGCAGCCTAATTAAAACATCTGCAGTTGTCCTTGTGACTGTGGATTTTTAGCCAAACCTTCTCTTCATTTTTTTAGTGAAGCCACTGCAATATCAAGTATTACAGTAAGTGTGGCTGGAGAAACACTTTAAATAAGGTTTGCAATAAGCTGCACTTATATTGCGCTTTCGTGCACAGGCTTGATTACATATTTACAGTAAAAATGCATGTATATATACTATTTCTGGGCGTAGATATGTATATTTGTGCTTATGTGCTGTTTGTTTCTGTTTAGCCGTCTGATGTCTCTTAAGGAGAATGTCACCACTGGGGAATGGCAGTACAATGAGATCTGCATGGGGACAGACCAGACCTGCAGATTCCCCAAACTCATCAACAGTTACTATAAATACATCATCTCGTTTGCTGAGGATGAAGCAGGTAATAACTGTGTCTATGTGTTTTCTTCTCTTGTATTGGCACCAAGCATCACATGGCTTATTTAGATGTAGTACGAGGAAGAGAGAGCCTCATTGTCACCTACACATATTTTATATAATTAAAGGTACAAATGAACGATGTGATTAAGTTGTTAAAGCTGCAGTGGGTAACTATTAATATTTGCTGAAACGTTCATTATATCCTGCACATGAGACAGATAATCTGTGAAAAAAACTGATTCCTCTGACTCCTTCTGCTCCTATGGTATTGGACAATGGAAAGATATTTTATTGTTGAGTCTCATTCGCAGGTCGTCAAATACTGACGCTTTGGATTTATTGTTAATAGGAAATTTAAAAAAAATGTCTAGGAGTGAGAAACACAACAGGTGTCGTCCATGCTCCCAGCTTTGACAACCAGAAGCGTCGGAATTTGACAACTTGGGAATGAGACTCAACAATCAACTTTCTCCTGAACGACTGAGCCCTCCTCCAATTCTGGGGAAATAAGAGGACCCAGGAGAGGGTTAGGTTTAACTTTAAATCTGGTTTGAATTAAAGAGACTTTTGATTTACTAGCGAAAGTGTTGCACACATGCTGTTGATCTTAAATAATCTCTTCCGTCTCTCTGAGTGCCTCAGAGGAGATTTAAGTTGAAGTTCAAGGAAAGTCCAAATCCCTTCTCTGTACACACGTTTTGTAACTTTTTGTGTCTTCTCTTCTTTTTTTCTTCCCTCTCCATCTCCCCTGTTTTGGTATTTCTCTCTCTCCTCTGCTTTCTTGCTCTCTCTCCCATCCATATTCAATGTAAATATACCCCCTCCCCCACACTGCTGTTCGCCATTTGTCTCTTTCCTTCTTGCCAAACTTCTTCACTCTGTTTTTCTTCCTTTGAGTCTTTCTCTTTGTCTTTTACTCATCTCTCTCATTCTGTCCATCTGTTTTAGGGGAATTGTATTTCTTAGCCACAGGAGTCCCGAGTGCCACAGCCAGAGCAGGAGTCATCTATAAGATAGTGGACCCTTCCAGGTAGCAACAAATACACTTTCATGATGCCTACCTGGGTGTGTGATTTAGAAGTTTGGGTCAAATTTGCTATGATGATCCCAATAAATGGTGAAACTGGTCATTGTGGGTTATATAGACCTTGACTAAACAAAATAATAAATACATAATACCTAAATAAAAATAGGCTTACCTATGTTAAAAAGCCCCCTACCAGCCAGTCTCATCCCATTCCATAATAATAAGTAAGCTTACTGTCCAAACTCGATTTACATAGAATATCCTCTTGATTTTGTGACTAGAGCAAAGCATTGAGGCTACTCGTTGCTAAAATGAGTTTCAGTTCAGTATTTTACCCAAAATATGCTTTAAGTTATAGTCAGAGTCTGACTGATTTTTGAGCCTAATAACTATATCCATATTTGAGATTTGATCTGATAACTATTTATAGGCCGATATTGATTTGTTTACAGAAGCACATGACATAAACAAGGCTCTTTGATAAGGCTAAGTTAAGTTAGTTAAGTCAGGTTATTAAACAACGGACCAAAATTTGTGCTGACCAGGACATTTTAATTGTGAAAAATGAACTGGTCGCTGCTCTCCTATGTGCTAATTTTTTCTCTCCTGACCACACAGGCGAGCGCCGCCAGGAAAATGCAACATCAAGCCTTCACCTGTTAAGATAAAGGGAAAACTGATTCACTTCCACCCCAAAGAAGGTAAGGGGAATCTTAAAATAATGTTTTCCGATTTTTCTGTTGTTGTTCTTTATAGAAACGTTAGACTCGTGATCAGAGCTTTATCTGTTGAATACTGACAAAATAATTGTCTATTCTTCTCATTATCTTGTCAATGTGCAACATGTTAAATAAACTAAACATATGTATCAATGTCTTCATTTCTTCCTTTTCTCGTTTGCAGAGTTTGTAATCAACAAGAAACCAACCACCACACCTATACCCACAACAACCAGAAAAACTACAACCACAACAAGAACTCCAACAAGAAGAAAACCTATTATAATAATAAAACCACCAATGCCAACAAGAAAAACAATTAGAAAAACACCACCACCACCACCAACGACACCAACAGCAAGAAAAACAACATTACAGACAACAAGAAAAACAATGAGAAAAACACCACCACCACCAACAACAAAGACACCAACTATAAAAGCAACAACGAGAAAAACACCTCCACCACCAACACCAACTATAAAAGCAACAATGAGAAAAACACCACCACCACCACCAACACCAACTATAAAAGCAACGACAACAATAAAAACAACCTCAGCAACAACAATAAAACCAACAACAACCGTACCAACAACTGTCCAGATGGCAACAACCCCTGCCACAACCACACCCACTGGTAGGCCTACTGGTGCACCTGTATACCAAGCCAGCTCCACTACCACTAGGTCCACTATGCACACAACCACTGAGTCAACTGTTAGGACTAACATTGAACACACCAGTAGACCAGTGCACACCTTGGTGCGGGGAGAAGCCACAAGGGTCAAACCAGGTGGTTTCTTCTTCTGCACTCTATTTTTGCTTTACATTTTAACATGCTAAAAGCTCAAATAACATTTCCCAACTCTCCATGCGTATTTTCAAATGAAAGATTCTGTGCAATTTCCTTTCCTGTGATGATTAATATAACTTACCTCTGATAAAATTACACCAGATTATTTTATTTATTAGAAAACTAGTTGCAAAGTTACTACAAATGTCAGCTACAGGCTGTCTAAAGACTCAAAATTATTATAAATGATTATATAAGTGAAATCATACAAAATATGACATATTTTAAATAGCTTGGCAGCTAAGTCGATTTACTGTAAATATGGATTGGGACTTTTGTTCACTTTTGTTTTTTAACTCATTTTTGGTCTGGCGTTACTTTTTAATTTAAAGCTTCATAATAGTTTTACTGCGTAGACAAGAACATGAAAAGTGAAAACTACCCAAACTCTTTTATTGCAGCTTGTACAGTATGTTAGTGATGAGCTACCTCCAGCTCTCAGGTATACTGCATCCTTCTTGCATGTTGAAATTAGAAAATTATTATTTAAGAGATGCAAAAAAAAAGTGAGGAGATCAATAAATTACAGTGAAAGAGCCAGTAGACTTTGATAAATGAGACAATAATAAATGTATTTTAAATTATTCTGTGGGCTTTTTGCAGAACAGTAATTAACTGTTTTGTAATCCATTAAAATGACTGAACTCATGATCATTTTTTTGTTTTGTTTTAAATTATAAGCAAATTGTCTATTAAAATAGTTTAATGGGTAGTTAAGCATCATTTTACTTATATTTACCACTTCTGAGATTTAAATCAATATGCACCCAAATAGGGCTTTGAAGCATTTTATTTATTATTATTTTTTTTACATGCTTCTTATCAGTCTTTGCACTAAATTTGCATCATCTCTGCACTGGAAACCACATAATCTGAGAGGGAATAACAGATCAGTGGCGTTCACCTCATTAATATAAAAATAGTTGTTTTCATGAACTTAAATTAAATTACAGTAGTGTTCCAATATATCAACTTTTGCTTATTTTCTTCTGACTGTCTGAAAGCAAATTAAGGACAAGTTTGCCTGTAAATGGTGATGATAAGTCTTTTGCACAAGCTTGTGTCAAACTCAGGTGCAGACGAATTAGCGGCATTCATTCCCAACTTTAATTCCTGCTTGCATGTTATTCTTTGGCTGGTACAAGAGTCTAAAGCAGGATAAATGGTGCTTATTTATGTGTTGGGTATTTGCACTACTTTAATTCAAATCAGATACTTTGGCATTATTTATTTTGAATAAATGGTTCTGCATCAGTCTCAGTTTGGACATTCATCTTTGTGTGTCTGTGTTTATGTCTTTACTTTGCTGTCTACAAGGATAACGTTATTTTTTTAATGGCTTTAGTGAAATCTGAGCTTTGTAAATCGTACTCATTTCTTGGATTAACAATTTGGTGAGGGCCATTAGTTAAAGGTATGTTTGACATTTTTGGAAATGCACTTATTCTCTTTAGATTTGGATGAGAAGATCCATTACCTCTTTTGTACCTGTCTGTTAATGTAAGGCAACAGCCATAAACCGACTCTGGTAACAGGTAACAAAATTTGGCTACCACCACCTCTAAAGCTAAATATTTAACGCATTATATCTTGTGTGTTTAGTGCAAAAACAAATATCTGTGGGTTTACAGGGATTATGTGTCAAACTATTTGGTTTTAATTGGAATAAATGTGTCTTCGAATCAAATAACATCACCTTTTCCAGTCTTTGTGTTAGGCTAAGCTAGTCAACTGCTGTAAGTAGCTTCACATATACTCTTACAGATATAAGAGTGGTATCAGTCTTCTTATCTAACTCGTAGCAAGAAAGCGAATAAGCGTATTTCCCAAAATGTCTAAACTATAAAAACTTTAAAATAAAAACATTCTTTAACACATTGTTAAACTTCATATATTCAAATAAAGAGGGTGATTCTGTCTCTCCCTCAGGTTATCGCACAACCGTCATGACTGCAGCCATGTCTAGGATTGCTCAATCCCCAATCGTCACCACACCTCCAACCAGGAGACACAGGAGACCCCTTCAGACCCCTCTTTGTACCACCTCTCAACCTTTAACCTCACTGCAACCTTCTCCATCTACAACATCCCTGAAAGGACCCCAGGTGACTCTGACCTCTGCACGTTACCTCGAGCATCCTGGAGTGTTCACCACACCTCGGCTGCCATATTGGAACCAGAAACCCACGGTATCAGGCTACGTGCCCCAGAGACCACCGATCAACACAACGCTGCTTAAATCACAGGAAGAGAAGCTGTGGCTCGGAGAGAAGCAGGAAATTGCTGGGGAGGGTAACCAGGTGTTTAAGAGGCCTCGAGGAAGAGGTAGAGGGCGCGGTTACAAGCGAGGAAGAAGGCTGCGGGTTGGCTCAGTGCGACTGGTAAGCGCTGATGGTTTATCAGATCGAGGTAGAGTGGAGATCTTTATCCGTGGTGAGTGGGGGACAGTGTGCGATGACCTTTTCAGCAACAAAGCAGGTACCGTAGTGTGTCGACAGCTTGGTTTCACGACGGCGTTGGCAGTGATGAAGAGGGCTGCGCTGGGGGAGGCAGACAGGAGCGTCAGGATCCTGTTGGATGACGTGGAGTGTGAGGGTGGAGAGAGGTCGCTGCTGGAGTGCAAGAGATCCAGGGTTGGGAAACACAATTGTTCACATGGGGAGGATGTAGGGGTGATCTGCGGTTAGCAGAGATGGGTGAAAGTAAAAGAAAAGCATAGGAAGGGAAGGAGGAGACAGTGGAGTGATGAATTGTATTTTGTTTTCCAGTTTGCATATTTGTTTCATTTTTCATTTCCCATCCACTTCTAAATGAAGAAAATATCAAAAATACTTTTTTTTTTTTTTACATAGATGAGGAGCATAGATGATGAGTTTCTCCTAAACTTACTCAGTCTACTGACCCTACTTTGAAACTTAACAAAAGAGATGCGGCACGGTCAGTCGTGACCCAGCAGTGGATGGTACTGGAAGTACTGCGCTGACTTACTGTCTATTTAGAGCCCAAATAGTCACTACATCTCACCAACCTGAAGGATTCCCAAATTAATTTTGCTGTGACACATTTTGGTTTAATTTAGATTGATGTTTTCGGTCTTACTTCTTGAACCATTAACACACATTTTATTTTAAGAATATAGATGGTTTTGATTTACTCAGAAATGGTAAAAGTGGACTGCGTGAGTCTTGGATAAACTTTAATCAATTCTGGCTGTGTGTTCTGTTTACATTCTTGACATCCATGAGGCAAAAATACAGCATATCAAAATAGTCAATTGTGTTCTAAGAAGATATTTGTATTTTTGTATTGTATAATTTCAGCAGGTCTATTTTCTAAAGCAGCTTTTTATAATTTGCATTTTGATTCCTTTTGTTGAATGTAGTTTTAAGATGAAAAAAAGTTTTAACAAGGAAATGCTGGACATTCTGTATGATGAATGTAATAAAATATTTCCAGTTTTATATAAAGAGATTTGAGGGCACAGAGTGCCTGTGATATGAATAAAGTTTTACTGCAAAATGACTTCCTTGTTATTCTCTATTATTCTCTGTCAACGTACTCTAAAGTGTTAAAGAACAATTACTCACATGCACACTTTCACTGTGAAACTCAAACTGTTCTTCCCATTATGTGGCTCAGTGAGTGGTGGCCTTGGTTCTGACATTTTTTTTTAAATTTAGCATCCCACTTTTTAACACCATGTGTTATCCAGGCACTCTGCAGCACACACACACACACACACACACACACACGATGTGACCAGATGGCAGGAAAAAAACATTTCTCTGGGTTAGACTGTCTTGTGATGAAACCATTACTATGTGTTGAAGCACAAAGAAAATGAAAAAGACTTCACTTCCAATGTAAGTATTCTGCCTGTGTAACACATTTGTACACCTCGTAGGAATTTAAAATATTCAACAACATTAAGGTTGAGCTGCCCTGCTTTCTTTTGTACAATTCTTTTAACGTAAAGAAGGAAAACAAACCAGTGCTACAGGAATCACAGTTCAGTATGGTGGAAGGCATGGAAGGTTATACTTCAATTTAAAACATTATTATAGAAAATATATACCAAACAATTAGCATATTTACTTAATTCAAAGCGGACATAGAAAAATAATATTAATAACAATGATACGTAAGGTAAAATTTTCACATTTGTCTATGTCGCTGTAGGGATCATTTACATTATGTTGTCAGACACTTGTGACACAATGTGAGCCTGTCAGTGGAAAAAACAAGCACTTTGAGTGGACGTACCTAGACAGACGCATTTGTCCCCAAGTATTACTTGGCAGCCATAACATGTACGTTCATTACACGCATGTCCTATAAAGTGTGTGTGGATGTCAGCAGAAGTCTAATTTGCAGCACATTTGACCTGAACTGAAGCAAAAATAATTTTATTTCAAGAGTACAAGAGTCAGTCAGGCACTGTAAGGAAGCAGTGAAGCAAATAAGCAGGGACAAATATAAGTCTACTTTAGCTCTCAGTGAATAATCAAAACATATGGAACTATTTTGGGCCATATGCTTAATTTAATATATATATATATATATATAGTTATAATTTTTGCTTCTACTTCCAGACCAGAGGGAGGCAGTCATGTGTCAACTTTGTATCACCAATGGAAGACGTGAAACCCTTAATATGACTGGTGAGACAATGACTTTATCAGTTTGCACAATTTACTCTATAATTAGCATGATTTTTGTTATAAAATAACATCTTTCAATGCCACTAGGTCCATAACCAAATAAGACACATAATATCACCTTATTAGACCTTATTTCACAGCCTCAGAGCATTGCCATCACACAGTAAATATCAGTGTAACAGAACTTTAAAATATGCATTTATCAATAAAACTCATATTGTCCTCAACCTTTATTAACTCCTCTGTACGCTAATTTGTCCTATTCAGCTTATAAAACAGTCCTCTTCCTGTCTTCAGGTCTGTGAGAGTACAACTGTCATCACTGTAAATCAACACAATGGTTCTTTCTGTCTATTGTCAATAAACTTAGTTATTATCTTTGTTATCAATGTACTTATCTTTGTTATCAATGTCTCGAGTACTGATGAAGAAAGCTCACCGTGATGCCAGCCGATGATCACCGTAGGTTTTCAGAAAGAGCTTTTAATTTACTCCAACAAAAGGGCCCTTAAAAGAAGTAAACAAACCTAACTCAGGCTCTGGCAACTTCACATAGTGTTCTTCTTTATTTATTACAAACAAGCATGGAAGGTGCATGGTGCCACCTACTGGACCAGACAGAGCAACATCATGACTTCATGAAGAGTTTACAATCTAAATAATAGACCTGTTTCCTGAAGATACAGACCAAACAGACACAAAGTGGAAAATATATAATGGGTGATCAGACAATATTTGGAACACAGAGGGAAAGACACATGGTACAGTGTGATTGGCCACTTCCTGTATTAAACACGGTTCTCCGACTCAAATTAGCTTGGGGCCACTGCTGCTAATCATCTCACTGGAAGGCCACTTCAATGTTAAGCTTAATATTTCTGAAAACTGCAAACAGGAATTTCTATAAATTCTTATATCATCATGTTATATCATCTTTGTTGTTCACAGCCAAACAACAAATGAAGGAGCGTAAGAGCTGTATGGAGAATTTAAACAGCAGCTAGGAGTTGAAATTGTTCTTTTTCTGTTTTTTCTTAGATTTCAATCAATGAGCGCATGCTACAGTATTTTCATTGATCTTATCATTTGCATTTGATTTTTTAAATTATTTTCTGTTCAGAAGGTGGAAAGTTTTTAAGTCATCAGCTTTTGGTGCTTTTTTCTTTACAACAGCAATGCAATTTCAACAGGCATGTACATGTAATTTAAGCTATTTTTCAATGACAAAGATCAACGTGTTATCAGTGGTAAATCTCAGAAGCTAAAATGAGCACTACTCGAAGATCTGTGACTAAAATACACTGAAAGAAAGAAAAAAAAACACAGGCTTCGTTACATCCTGCACTCCCAAACATCAACGCAAGGGAGAGCCATAACCCTGTGCAGTTTATTATGCTGGATTTTTACAGTAGTGGTCTGCTGTTGACCCAGATTTATGGTGAAACAAAACAAATGTACATCTGTTTATATACATTGAGTTATATAAATGTGCACATACATTTTGAAATTTTGGAAATGCACATGTATAGCATGTTTTTGCTATTATGATGGTGATCCTTTTGTTATACTGATCTCCTGCAAATGAGCTTTAGACTCTAAGTGTCTGCATGTATGTGTGTGAGCAGGACCCTCTCATTACAGCTTAGACTTAGGATAGCTTGAGTTTGTGCATTTCTGTCAGAACTGCGGTATTTTACGTATATTAAGAAGACAAATAAAGAGACAGACACTGATATATAAAAAAGAGAGCAGAGAGGGAGCAGTAAATGACAGTGGTGACGGTAATCTTTGCCAGCAGACTGTTAACTGTGACAGTAATTATTTCTAATGGATCTATGTCTGATTAAGACGATGAATATCTCTGAACTGGATCAGAGTCAAAAGGAATGAATAGGATGTCCTATTGATCTACAGTAAAACGCTTCTGCTACTGGAATAAAGATTAAAGATAGAATAAAGATATAATAAAGAATAAGGATTGAACTACATTCTAGACTATGAAACAAAAAAGTGGAATTATAATTGTTGTCTCTGTGTAATGTACCCTTTTTTATATTTTCGACCAAAAAACATGTTTACAGTGAAACCATAAACCACATAAATTGTTTACTGTCCTGGGTTTGTTGCGTGTACTTACCTCTTTGTTTCATATCTGTGAATACCTGATTAAAAATGGTTCAGTTTTGCAAATGTTTTCTTTTATAAAAGTAATCTGATATATACTGCACATGGTTTCTGCTCATTGTACGAGTTCATTGCATCCCAACAGATCCTAAAACAGAACAGAAGTAAGAGTGAGACGAGAGGGGGAGGACTGAACCAGAAAAACTGAATTAAGTAGCCTGAGGTTTCACAAGGGTTTTGTAAAGATGCACATACACACATGGTCTGCATGCATGAGCACACACGCACATATACTTCCCCCCGGTGTCTTGTCTTCTGTTCCTAATTTAACTCTCCCTCTCACAATGTCTCTTTATTTCTGTCTTAATCACTCTCTCCATCTCTCTTCTCCTTGTGTTACTCTGTTCTGTTTAAAGTAGTGACAAGAGCAGGTTTGGGTTTATGAAAGGAGGAAGAACAAAGAGAGAAGGGAAATGTGGAAGAAAGAAGAAAGAAAAGAGAACAGCTAAGGGCTGATCAGGGTAATGACGCAGCAAACTTTGCAATGAGCAAAACAATGTATGTTCCTGCTGCTTTCCTGCCTCTGTGTATGCATCTATCTGCTGCCAGATATGCATGTGTCAGTATTTTCCTCCATGTGTCTCTGCCTCTCTCTCCAAGTAACACATGAAATTCACATCACATAAAATAGACTAGAGTTTCTACAAGTATTTAGTAGGATTAACCACTGCTTCAATTATGCTCTTCTGTACCCAATCCCAACCCAATTAAATATGTACTGTGCATACATTTGTGCACAAGGCTTCTTATCACTACCTGACATGTGGGGACATTTATGCCTATAAACACAACTTCATCATAAAATCTGGGGACAAATAATAACATTCTCATCACATCACTATATCATGTTATTTGTATTTAAACCCACTGCCTACTTTAGAACATCTCCACTTAGATAAAATTCAGAAGTTGGATTATTTTTTATATACTGTCTGTTTTTTTAAAACTTTTAATCGTCATTATATTACTCTTTTTAGCAAAGTCAGTACCATATTGAAACCCTATCACCATTGCTCATTAACAACATTTCTATAATGTATGCACACGGCAACGGTTATGGTTAGGCAACAAAAACACTTTTTGACACAAAGATTGTGGTTAAAGAGTAAAAGTCTTTTAAAGAAGGCTTCGCTTTCAACTCTGGTTGAAAGTTTCAAGCCTGATAGCTACTAACATAAAATGATTCTACTTTCGCATTTGGAGGAGCCTTTAAAATGAAAAGTAAAGTTGACTTGATCTGATGTATTTGGCTCTGAAATGCATTCGGCATTCAGTCCCTAAATGGATGAATGTTGCAACACGGACTAGAGAGACTAGAGAGCTTTCACTGTAAGGGAGGTGTGGTGGAGATTGAGTGGGCATTGCCATGTCAGTTTATTTATCTGTCAAGTCTAATCTTCTTGACAGTCAGCTTACATCTTGTACAGAATCAATAGTGGTCTATCTAAAAGTCTGTCTAAAAGGTATTTCCAGTGCTACAGTGCAGCTGCTATTCTCACTCTTCTCTCTTCCCAGGGTATTTTTGTGTAAAAAAAAAAAAAAAAAAAAAAAGAAAAAGAAGTGCTTACAGCAGGCAACATTTCCAGGGGCAATGTGGAGTTGTCTAGCCACTGAGCATGTTTGAATGACTGGAGAAAGCATTGCCGGGATATGGCCCTCTTCGTGTTTATGTCTTCACTGCCAACTTTGTCACAGTCAAAGGGTCAGCAATGCGTGATGTAAATGTTCCTGACAGAACTGTACAAATGTTAAAACTGTACACTCAATAAACAAGAGTGATAAGCCTATTCAGCCGTATTACATTGCGACTCATGAACGACTCTAGTAGAGTTACTTTAAATAAAGAATACTTTGAAATGATCTGCTCACCAGTGGTTTTAAACCAATGCTTCTAAATCATGTCAAGTCTTAAATTGTGTGTGGGTTTTACACACTGTAACATGAGAGGTTATATTAGATTAGATTATATTAGAATTTAAAAGTTATGCATAATTAAGGACCAGCCGGCTTTGAGTGACAGGTGGTGGTTCTCGTCACAGGCAGGCTTGTGGAGTAATGGATTACATGTAACGGCATTATGTTATTAGGATACCAAAAAAGGAACTGTATTCTGTTACAGTTACATAAAAAAAGATGTCATCAGATTACAGATACAGTAAAATTACAACATTACTTCACAGCACACACCATCACGGCTGGTATCGAGTGAAATTGAACGGTTAACGTTTAGCTAACGATACAGTTGCTTCAGATTCAGTATCATCGTGGTTATTTTGGTTTTGAAGCAGAAAAAGGGAACAATACCAAATTAACTTGCTCTGGGCAAGTTATGCCTTCTAGTATAAAAAGTTGTCATCATCCAAGGACTCTACTCTAAGAGTAAGAGCTAGATAACTAACCAGTCAACACAACTACTCCTAAATTAGCCTACTACTACTACTACTTATACTCAGTGTAAAACTGACACAGAATTTGCTGCCATGGAAGAAATGTGTGCCCAACAGCAGACTGCACAAAACAGTATTTCGTGTGACACGCCACTGGATTCAGGAGGACACTGCAGCATTTGCCTGTGCATGAGTGAAGGGACGCCATACTTTCAATATTCTTAGTACAAAATTCAACACAAAGCAATGACCATAGTTACGGACAACGGGAGTGACTTTGTGAAGACTTTGAAACATCTGAGGAGGCAGCACCAGATTAGCTGGATGATGGAGTGAGGTTCTTGGATATGGACACAGTTCTGGACATGGATGGAGATGAGGAACATTTTTTCCATCCCCCTCATAAAAGACGTGCAGCACACACACTCAACCTGACCACCAATGAGGTGGATGAAGCAGCATCAAAAGGGCCATCCTGGAAAGTCTACCGAAGTGCAGCAGCAAAGTGTGCTTCCATATGGAAAAAGGCAGCAGTGCAAGATACGGCCAATATCAGGGTTTCTGTTCCATGTGTCACAAGATGGAGCTCTGAATATATGGCCTTTGCTTACTTGCTCAATTCATAGATCCTCTGCAGGGGGAGACAAGGTGGGTTCCTCATTCCAACAATCTCAAGCCTCAGGTCTAAGCTCTCTGACAAATTGTCACATGTGGGTGGCTGGTTTCAGCAACCAGGCATTCACTTGGTTGCCTCTGCTCCACCTACGCTCCATTTCTTTTCCCATTTTTGGATAAGCTGGGGGCCAGTTAAGTCAGGCACTGCCAAGATGGCGATGGCCCGAGCTAACCACACTGAGCTTGTCAACGCTTTTTCAGCAACCTTTGGGTGAAGTCTGGGGACTATGTCCATATTTTATGCAGTCCATGGTTGCTTCATATTGCATATGCTGAATAATGAATCATATTCATGGTAGAAGATGCATGAAACATCAGACACTGGCAGGGTTATTTGGATGAATCTTCACTAGACTACAGTACATTTGCTAAATTTAGAGACCCAAATGAGGATTGAATCTTGGACTGGTGTTGTCAAGAGAAAGATTAATTCTTCTGAGCCCAAAATGTGCAACCTTGAGTCTCTGCCTGGCCTCTATTAATGCTCTCATTTTTGGTTACATGGGCTGACTGTAGACTGAAAAGAAAGACAAACATACAGAAACAAAGTCTACAAAAACAAAAAAGGGTCCTCTCCTGTAAATCTGTGTAGCTTATTACAAATTTGAGCCAAAATGCAAAATTCAATTAAAAAAATGAAAATACTGACTTTTTAAAAAATGACATCAAAAATAAATGTGAAACAGCAAGACAGAGACAGGTGGACTGTTTGGAAATTACACTAATTCAGGACTGTAAGGTTTATCCTGTGACCAGGATGAGTCTAGACATTCAAATGTAAGAAATATAATTTCTAGCATGACTTATGATGATCTTTAATCAGTTTATCCAAATAAATGTTTCCTCCCACACACTCTCACACTCATTCGCACACAAAAACATTTGTGCAGACACACACCCTTCCCATCTGGCTGGCAGCACAGATGGTGGCACTGGGTGATGCTAGAGGCCAAAAGGACAGCTCCAACCAGCTACACACACACACACACACACACACACACACACACACACAGAGAGAGAGAGGACAATGAGATATGTCATAGTTTGCACATGTATGCACAAATGTCCAGACATACAATATGAGCATACTGAAACACACTTCCTCTCCTTCTGTTCTTCTATCGCTCTCTTTCTTTCCCTCGTCAACCTAGTGGTGCTAATGTTTCATTTATTTGTTCAATGACTCGGTCGCTGTTTGTCAAATTGAATTTCCATTTCAAATGAGAGCATACTTTACCCTGCATGTACACTATGTGTGTGTGTTTGCATAGGTTTTTGTGTGGCTGCACTCCCATGAACATGCACTACATATATTCTCTGTTCAATCTTTAATTGATTTGCAGCTGTGGTCTCACACTGCAGAAAGAATGCTTTCGTTATTGATGCCTTTAGTGTGTTGAATTTTAGTGTGTGACTGTTGCTCAGGTTATGCATGCATAACAAAAACCTTGTTGTACACTCATTTTTCAGCAAGATGTGTTTTTGTTTTTGCCAGCCAGAAGGAGCGAGAGGGAGACGTAGAGGGTGTGTGTTTTCCACATGTGCATGCATATGAAAAAAAACCATGAATGTATTGTGTGTGTATTATTCATGTAGCAGGGGTTATGAATGGTGTTGACATGTCCTGAGAGCTTTCCACTTCCAGAGCCCGTCCACTGTGTTCCAGAAGCTTCGCTAAGTGAGGGAAGGGTGAAAAAAGCAAGCGAAAGAGAGAGAGAGAGAGGGGCGGGGGGGGGGAAGGTGGAGAGGTGGTGATGGAATATGGGGGGAAGCAGAGACAGAGGGTGGGGTGGGGTGGGGGGGTAAAAAAGAAGAAAGAGGAGAGGAAATGGAGGGAGAGAGTAGGAGACAGAGGCAGAGAAGGACAAATATAGAGAGAACGGGAGCGGAGAGGGGGGGTGAGGGAAACACTGTGAGAGACAGAGAGGAGGAGGAGAGGGAGGAGGGAGGGATGAGGGATGCTGCATTTTAGTGATAGCACAGACTGAGGCTGCAGGAGCAGACAGAAGGATGGAGAGAATCGATGTGAGAGGTAGAAATTAAAAGAGAGCAGGGGAGCAGTGCACAACAGGATTCCCATGCAGGTAAAATCAAACAGCTATAAACTAATTATGAATGAATTATATTGATATATTTTGAATACTAATTGCCTTGACTAATTAGAGACTGGGAGAGGCCTTTTCTTCCATGACAGCTGCATCACAGATTTCCTGGTTGTCATAGAAGAGCCATCCATCCATAAATCCATAAATGTCCATATATCTTTCTTGTCCTCCATCCCTATCTTACCTTCCATCCATCCATTCTTTCCTTCTTTTCCCTTATCTGGCAAGCTCCTCCTCTCGCTTCATCCCATATCAATCTTACAATCATCCCTCCATTCCACCCACACACAAGCTTCTCTCCACAGCCTCCCCCATCTTCTTCTTCATCGTCCTCATCCTCTTTCCTGCCTCCTCTGGCTCCCTCCAAATCTTCTCTGCTGTCACTTTTACAGATCCTGAGGGCATCTCTCTTTTTTTATTCATCTCCACGTATCTTTCTACTCAATCCCTCTTTGTCCCCCTCAGAGAGTATCTGTTGTGCTGTTTTCAGTAAGAATTTACTTCTGCTTTAGCTTTTCTTTGTCTTTCCTTTCTCCAGACTGTGACAGACATGTACTCAAAGAAGCAGCAGAAGGGGGTAAAGAGAGGGAAAAAAGGAGCAAACTTGCATCACTGAACACAGCAAGTGGGTAGACACTCCTGACAGAGGAGGAGAGAAGAAACCACCTGTAATAGAGATTATTAGCAGACAAGTATTTAAAGGCAGACTCCTGACTCTGTTGGTGTCTCTCTCATTCCCTTTTGTGTCTCTGTGACTGTATATCCACAGGCTGTTTCTCCATCTGTCTCAGCAGGATGCAGAGGCGTCATTTTGGTGCCTGGAACTAAGAGAAATGCTGAACGGATCCTGGCACACTGCTGGAGAGAGAGGAGACAAAAAAAACTGAGGAACATTTGCAGGCTTCTGGAAGGAAAAGGGAGGAGAGAGCAGTATGAGTCAGAGCACAGCAGCTAGAATACTGGGTATTCTGCATGCAAGAGGAGAGGTAGAGGGAGTTGGAGGAACAATGAGAGAGATATAGGGAAAGAATAGAGAGGACTTGAGCAGAATTGAGGAGTCATTAGACAGAGGAAGGACAGGATGAAGACAGAAGTAGCCACATTGGCAGGCAGTGAGTGAGAAATAGGCCACGTGAATCAGTTCGCTAGAGGGAGAGGAAGGCAAGAAGAGGTTTAGAAAGTGGAAGGTTTGGTATGACTGAAAAGTGTTGAGGGAAGGTTGAATGAAGGTTTGCTGCAGGGGGGGACAGTGGACAGGGAAACAGCGAAGGACAAACTTAATGAAAAACTACTTGAGCAGCTACAGGGGAGAAAGTCCTGAGTGACTGTGTCTTGCCTCAGGGTGGGAACATGACTGAGGTTTGCATATGGGAGGACAAGCTTCAAGAAGGATAACCATAGAAAGGAGAGGAAATGGTGGAAAAACTGAACAGAACATAAAGGTGAGGAACAAATCAGGCCAGATCAAAGAAACATTTAACATCCTAGCAGAGCGCTAAAAGGAGAGTAAGAGAGACGCGCACTGCAGACCAGAGAAAATGTCATCCAATGCACAACGACAGGGACATGGAAACTTTAACTGTGACAGAAACACAGCAAGAAGTTCCTGTTAAATATTGATGCTGACAGGCCACTCTGGAAAGAGCTCACTCCTTGCACCACAGAGAGGGAAACAGAAGGAAGAAACAAAGCAGTTTTTTTTTTTATTCCGTGGGATTTCTGAGACAAGCTGTTAAGTGTGTCAAATGACAGCCGAGCGTGGTCAAGTTCTGGATGTTTGTGTTTGTCCAGCTGTGCAGTTTCTTGGGAGAGAGTGGAACGACTACAGAAACAACTGGATCTTTATGTTGTTTGGGAACAGCAGGGAAGGAGGGAATTAACATTTGAGAGATCACTGAGACCTTCTTTCTGCGAGAACAAGAATCAGCCCCGGCTGATGAATACAGATTTCTATTTTGGATTGACACGCTGTACCTGCTTTGACAGGCACCCTGGGGTACATCACTGCCAGAAGAGAAAAGCCAAACACTGCTGTAGCATTCATAAATGTTTTTTGTTTTTATTTTTATCCTGGACTGATAGGAGCTGTTCCAACTATCTCTGGAAATGGCCTTATTACAAAGATTTGGCCAGTTGCTGTAATGGCTTGAGGAAATACAAGTGTGGAAAACACGAAGGATCCTTTAATTGGAAGCAGGATGTATACTTCCTTTTGTCTCCATGACTAAATAAGCCATTATGGGTGATTCTCCAACTTAATGCCATCAAGGATTTAAGATAGAGACTTCCTTCAGTTCGACCTGAATCACAGATTCCTCAAAACATCAGGACAATAACGCGGAACGCCACCGTCTCCATTCAGCCGCGGACAGACCAGCTGCATGCTTATGTGTGTGTGTGTGGCTGCAAGAACTGTCGAGGAGCTCAACTGCCTGTGTGCGTATGATTGTGTGGGTGTGGGTGTAGAGGTGTGTGTGTGTGTGTGTGTGTCACACCAGCTGTGTCTGAGTGAATTTTCAAAGCATCGCCGGGAGCTGTGTGAGTGTGTGTTTGTGTGTGTGTGAGTGTCGCCTGGATTCTCCCCACCAGCGACAGAGCTGGACCTGAACAGCAGTGGTGAGAGGGGGGACAGGGAGGGGGAGGAGGAGAAGAAGAAAGAAACCAGCAGGACAGAGGAGAAGAAAAAACTGACAACATGCTTGGATAAAGAAAGGAAAGAAAGGAGTTTTTGGCTGCCCCCCTGGTGCAATGTGTGGTGAGTACAGGTCTCTATATGCACTTTCATGGTCAGTGTCTGTCTATATGTGTGAGTGCATGTACACTGTATATCCACCAATAAGTATTACATTCCCTCAGGTTGGCCAAGGTCAAAGGTGACAGAGCAACTCAGACTCCAGGAGTATGAAGATCACATTATTGGATGCAGTGGACACATTATGGTCACATTATGTTTCAATCTACTGATTCACACAATTTATTGTAGGTCACATGATACAGTGTCCAGTGGGTCACATGACATGCCTGGCAACTGAATGTCAACAGAACCAACACCAACACCATGTTTAACCATACAGGATGCCCACAGTATTAATTTCAGAGGATGTTACAGCAATGTAGACAAATGTGTTATAGCCCCGCACGCAGCCACCAGTGATCAATAACAAGGTATGTATCTCTCAGTATACGACAACCGATGGTTGTTAAATCATGTCAGAGGATTTAATGACCAGACAACACACACACTGCTGATTAACATCACTATTGTATGTAGCTTGTTAACATTATGGCCAATTTCTATTTGTGAACATTAACTTTCTACCAACACCAAAAACTAGAAAAGACTCCATTCCATGAGATGTCAAGTCTGAAGCTGAAACTGGAGATAATATATGGCACCCTGTCCCATTAATACACTCATTATTGCTTCTGGATGATAGGAAAAAAGGCTTTTACTTGTGGATTTGCTGTGAGGTGAAATGTGCTTGATGCCTGTGGTTGTGTGAGAGATGTATTTGATATCATAGCTGCTAATGCATCACACGCTGCAGGGCAGTGCCGTTACTTCTCTTGTTGTTTTGGAAGAGATTTACAGCTTCTCAAAACTTCATAGACAGATCTAGTTTATTGAGCGCATACCTAAAACAATTTAGTGTTAAAAATGTTAATGTTAAATTACTCTGATTATCTTATCAAAAGTATGGACAAACCAATGCTCCCTTCTCTTGCTGTCATGAATACAGCACATATATGGAGTCACTCTGTCTTACAGTAAAACATACTCATTCTGCCTTTCTCTCTCCTCACACACAAGAAAATGTATCCACACACACACACACACATACACACACACACACACACACACACACACACATGCACACTATAGAAACACACATGCACAAACGTGGAAGAAGCAGGGCTGTGGCTGAGGAGAAGTGACAGTCGCTTCATGGCCGCCGGCCTCGTATTCTAGCAGCGCTGGCCAGTTGAGCTTGTAATGAGGCTGTGGAACGTTCTAGTGTCATACGGATCTGGTTCCCACACCATCACTGCATCGGCTGTGTGTGTGTGTGTGTGTGTGTGTGTGTGTGTGTGTGTGTGTGTGTGTGTGTGTGTGTGTGTGTGTGTGTTTCTGAGTGTGTGAGACAGAAACAAGAGACTTTGTGGATGTATGTAAAGCGTGTGTGTTTTTATCTGTATCCTTTATAACGTGACTTCAAAATCAGCTTACCATGTGTTAAGATATCTTATGACAACAAGCAGCTGGTCTTTACAGTTTAGCCATGGCCCACACACACTCCCTTTATGTGCTTTTAAATGTGTGTTTCACTGATCTCTGCAAATATTGCACACAGAGCCTGTATTGTGGAAAACACAAAAGCTGTAAGATCAGTGATTGGGACTTTCTGTGGAGTCAATAACACTACCAATCAATGACTCCAATCAATACCTGCTATTCCTCCCTAGATCATTACCTGGTAGACCTGGTGCACCACAGAGAACTCAATTTGTTTATATTGTATTTGACATTATTTCGTATTTTGTCTTGCTTACCAATAATGAAATACCTAGGAGTGGGATTAGGGTTAAAGAGGTAAGAGTATACAATGAGATAAAGTAAAAATCTATCTGGCATTCGGAAGTAACAGTTCTCTTGACGTTAGATTCTCAATTCATCAGCACCAGAAAACTCAGGGGTTACCCTCACATTATCTAGTCTCAATGGCAGCTGGTGATTATTTCCCTGATTAAATAATCATACGGCCTAATAAGGATGAGACACATGGAGATGTGAGGTTACCTTTATTTGTATTTGTATTTTAAGGTATTTTTTGAAGGAACTGAGGGGAGAGAGACGGGGAATGAGACACAATAGAGTAATAGAGTTCTCCAGCTGGACTCAAAACCTCGATTATGATTGTGGTCAGCATCTCAAACCCCCAATGCCCTCAGGACACCCCAGGACAGACTGATCTGCAATAAATGGCAGGCTGGGAAGATAAGAGCTTGTAGGGAATCCTGAAGACATAAAATAAACAGCAGAGTTTGGTGAAAAATCCACTCTGAAGAATGTCTCTGAGGCAGTTAAACTAATCACACAAGTCAAAGTGAATTAATCATTTGTTATAAGTGAGCAACATGAATTCATGATGCAGCCTGCATTAATTCATGCTTTAAATCATCATGAGTCATGCATGAATTATTCAAGTGTATTTTGTGATTTGTACCATTATTATAAAGTGTTACTTTCTCTTTGCAGCTAAAATCGAACAATATAAAGGCGATGAATGGGTAGCATGTATTGTGTTGGTAGGTAAACAGTGGTTATATGTATATTTCTGTTTTAAATATTAAAGATATTTATTTCGAACTAAAAGAAAATACCAAACATATTCTGTTCTGTGATCAAGGAATAAGTGGGAACGTTTGATTGGTTATGATTGGTCGATGTGTTAATAAGAGTTGTACGATGGTAATTATGCTCATGATAGGCTGCAGACCAGATGTTTTTGTAATGATACAACAACAATCAAGATACGTTTCTAAAATATATTATTTTACATCATTTTGAGGCCACTTTATAGACACCATGGGTTTTATACTCTGTAACTGTATTCACATCAACACAGTGACAGTGAGTCAAACTAGTGGAGATGTTCAGATACTGCAAATGTTGACAGATTACAGTTTATCACGTCACTAAAAGGACGTGATGGTAATGAGCAATAAAAAATCCAAACATTCTATTTTTGAAGGCTCAATGATGCCTAACAGCTGCCGGCCATGTGGCACAGGTGGTGCGCTGGTGACTGCGAGAAATGAAATGAAATTAATTTCCATCCAAACGTCTTTCTGAGGGGAAGAATGGAATTTGCTGTTATCAAAACTACCATCAACCCTGCTATGATTGCTTTGAAAGAACTGAGTCAATCCAGTGTGACTCACTATTTTCCCATCTAGACGTAACAACATAATTTACCATGTTTGAAGGATCTGATCTTTATTCCATGTTTAATCATTCCACAATAATGCTAAATTATGGATCAAATACCACCTGCGGACATGTTGCTGACCTGGGTCGGTGGGCACATACATTACTGTATGAAGACTATTTTGTGATATTAGAGTGAAATTAGTGGTAGTGTAAAAGTAGAAGTAGTGTGGCTCATTAATAGCACTGGAGTCAATTCAAATAAAAACTTCTGAGGACATTCAGTACTGCATCACTGCAGTAGTGGGTAAACAAGGTTCACACAAGTGGATATATACTGTTTATACTGTATATGCACTCTTGTTAATGAGATGAAGTCAGCGAGGGTGCGGTGGCGTGAAGATGTAGAAATATTGTACAGATGAGAGCATATCCATAATAAATGTAAATATAATCCTCTATTACAAAATGAATGAAGAAGGTATGCCGATTAGAAGCGCGAATTACAGTACACATGAGATGAAACGTGTCTATGTGGGACTGTCTCAAGATAGTCTCACACACACACACACACGCACACACACACACACACACACACACACATACTCTTAATTTTCCAATCTTTCTTCTCTTCCTTTCTTTTTGTCCATCATCTATCTCCAGTAATCTCAAAAATATGGAGGTTTGGAATCTTACTGAAGCAGTAATTAAGATATGTATATGATGGCTGCAGGCAAAACTATTTTATCAATCCCTCGACAAATCTGCAACCCCACCATTTTACCAATCCCCACATTATCTGTAAAGGATCGTAATGTCCAATCTTTGCAATACTGCTGGGAAAAAAATCATTTTCTTCAAGTAATAATGCAATTCAAACCCCTAGTGGTGAGACCTTGCCAGATAAAATCAAACCACCTGTTGAAATCTTTCCAATATAACCTACAATTATTTTTTTTTAATGAAGCTTGTTGAGAGCATTACCCCCACCCTCAGAGGAAGCTCTACCTACAATACATGGCAAAATAGTCCTTCAAGAACATTAAAACCTCTTAGTTATGTCTGCACAGATTAATGGTTGCTGTTTATTCCAGGTCTGCTAATACACCCATACCAAAGATATTATTTTACTTAATTGGAGACTAAGGAAATATTTTTTCCCTTGTGTTATTTGCTGTACAGTAAAATATGCAGTCTATTTCCATTCTAGATGAGATTACCTTGGTAGTGAATGTAACCAGACTCAACCTCCCACAGTAATGCACTGCAGACTGTGCTGCAGATGGACCATCCGTAGGGAATTTATATCACACCCTACATAAATTAATTTGACAGGGAAATAAGCAGGGCAGCTATCTGCACCAATTATGATGAATATTATGCATGAGTTTCATGGGGCAGACTGCCTTGCATTGCTCATTCAGCGGGGAAGCCTTTGGTGAATTCCCCAGTGCTACTCTGTATTGTGCTGCACAGCACAGTGTCCTCACTGTTTCTCGTTCCGAATCAAGTTTAGTATAATATTTGGCATGTGCAGCTTTTGCAGTGAGCAGCTTCCAATCATGATTACGTTATGACTTTAATTACACGTTTAATCCCTTATACTGCAGGGGGAACTTTTTAACTAATCCCTCAGATTAAAATAGACAAACATGATTTATTTCAAAAACAATGCCACTAATTGCTTGCACCTGTCACAGTACTCAATTCATGGGGGGAAAAAACCTTTACGATTTAATATTGAATTATATTTTATTGTTTTATGTGGATTTTTATCATTAACATCATAAATTATTGCAAGACAATCTCCTCTGATTTCTTCTGCTGTGGTGGTTTGAATGGTTGTAATTCAATAGATGTATTCAAATATTAATTGGAATGACTAAATGCTTGAGCTGCTGCGGTTCATTAAGATTGTGTGTTCTTGAAGGGGGGGAAAGAACGAGTGGAAGAGAGAGAGTGTGTGCTTGGAATGTGTTGGAAGGCTGCAGTTTTACAATACGGCATAATACTGTGTATTTGCAAATATGCAGCATGTTTATGTTCAGAATGTGTGATAAATCATGCTTGTCCTTTGTTTGTAGAAAGCGGCTGTGAGCCAAGCACTGACTCACTCTCCCTCTTTGTTTGGATACACATTCACACATTCACAGCGTACACATAAACTTCGACAAACATATTTAAATCTAAATGCTGTGAATGCCTGGAGGAAGTCGCACAATTCGACACACATGCAGACACTGAACATTAAAAAGAAAAAAACTATCCTCTCGGGTCACTGTCTAATTTCAATCAGAAGTTCAGGGAAGAGATAAGAAAGAGGATGGGGAGACATTGTCTCATGCAAACTTTTACAGTTCTTAATGCTGTATTAAACACTGACTGTTATAGTCAGTCCCATTTTTTTTTGCCATTTTCCCATTTCTTTCCCGCTCTTATCTTTGTGCTTTATGGCCCTGAGTTTTGAGGTGTGCCATGCATTCTCTCTAATTGGGTTGGAAATAATCACATTACACTGTTGAATGGCTAAGCTGCATCAAAAGATAATGCTATGTCCCTGTCCTTACTCTACACACACACACACACACACACACACACACATACCCCTGGGCTGCCAGAACAGCTGCTGGATGTGGAAATGTTTACCCAGCGCACCAACAAAATGAAAAGACGGAACAACAAGTGGAGAGCAGAGTAAAGCAAACATAAAAGAAGAGGAAACAGGAGGAGAGAAAGTTCCTTTCTTTACTACTTTACTAACTTTTTTTGTTTACATCTACAGTATGTGCGCAGCAAAGTTATCTAGGGGAGTGGTGTCATCAAGTTGTGATCAGGGAGAGGCTGAGATTGTCTACAACAATACATCATAAAACAACGCTTTTATAACTGTCTGTATTGTTTTGTGTATTATCAGAATTAGCTGACGTAACTGACCATTGGACCAGTTCAGTGTAGTGGAAATCTCACATCCTGTGTAGAAGCCCAGGAGCCATTCTCATTTTACTGCACACACAGAGATATAAATACACACACGCTCGCTGTCCTCGTCCTAACCTATCTTTCTCTCTGTGCTTTGAAACTGTCTCAAAGGACTGCAGATAATTCCCTCATCAGTATCAGACCTCATTAATTTTTAACGGACACCATCGATCTCACATCAACGCTAATGCCTAATGACAGAGGAGGAAACAAAAAAGATGAACAGGAAGAGAGGGGACTCAGGACTACAAAGGAATCCTAACACCAGTTTGGATTGATGTCTGTATGGTACTGATCAAACAAAGGGATTTTATCAAATTTATAATAGTTAAGAAATCTTTCGTCTCTTCCTTCTCCATGTTTTCTTCCATCAACTATCTCCAGTCTTCTCATTAAATTTTCCTTCCTCTCTTAAATTTCCTATTTAACTCTTTGGTTTATATTTACCTCTATTACTTTATCTCTTACTAGATTATATGTTACATACTACATGTACTACATAAGAGGATGGTGGGAGAAATATTAGAGGAGTGTATATGTGAGCAAGGCCTGCACACCATACGAGATGAGAAGTGGAAGAAAGAAGGAGAAAAAAGGGGCGAGGGCCAAGAAGTACAAGTCCTATGAAGGAAAAGGAAGAGTAACTATGACAAAATCTAATTTCATTCTCCACTGACTTTTAACTTTTTTACACTGCTGTGATTAATATCCAGGGCTCAAATGCATGCAGAAAAACATTTGCAACTAAAAATGTGTGTGTGTGTGTGTGTGTGTGTGTGTGTGTGTGTGTGTGTGTGTGTGTGTGTGTGTGTGTGTGTGTGTTTGGGAATGAGTTACTTTGTGTCAAAAGTAATTAACCAATTTCTTTCTCTTCTCCCTCTTATTTCCATTTGCCTCTCTCCTCTCTTTAATTTCAACTTTGTCCTCCCTGTCCCCATTTCCAGGCGTCGCGCCCTGTGGTGGTGGGGTTCTGTGATGGTAACCATGGTCCCCGGCGGCCGCTATGTCTGCAGCGCTCACGCCAGAGAGGAAGACTCTGGGAACGACCGCGAGGAGCGAATTTTAGCCGTGCTGGGCATCATCGGAACCATCCTCAATCTTTTAGTGGTCATATTTGTCTACATTTACACCTCCGTCACTTGAGGTTTTCTGCAAGACTTCAGCGAGAGACATTGGCGCTGTCCCCAACTTTTCTCCACGCTGCCACCCTGCTCTTTAAGTATTTATATACTGAGAAGATTATTCAGAGTAAGCAGGAAGATGTGAGGATCATTGGCAGCGAGTTCAGCTGGATAGTAGCCATATTTGCCTACACCTGCAGCACTTCTTATCCCCAAACACAGCTTGGATCTGTTAGCTAAAGACTGCTGCCAGCTACAGCTACTTTTAAACTGTATCTTCCCATTTTTCAAGACAATTTCACACATCCACATGTCAAATGACTGCTGACAGTGACTGTGACAGTCTGATAATGACATCTGTGTGTTCATATTGATCCTGCATTTCTGTGACTGCTTAGACAGCGAGAGTTGAGTGTCTTTGATCTGATGATGGCCATATTTGACTGTGCTGCATCTTCCACTTTGTCACATGACACGTAACAGTGTTCGGTTTCCGTCTTTCCGCAATCAAGCTCCTCTGTGGGGTTTAAGGTTTTATCACTGCCAGTTAAAATCTGCCAAAATGGTTTAACAAACCAGGAGGAACACTCCTGAGCACCTTTAAACCTACTTGAATAGAACATTGAGACATAAATACAGATAATCATTTCCGTAGTTAGTAGAGTCACTGAAAAAGTTTTACATGGACCTAACGTGTCCACACCTGAGCACACCGGAGGAGAGGTTCCTGGCTGTGCTAGGAGTCATTGGTATTGTGCTCAACCTCCTGCTGCTTGTCTTCGTCTATATATACACCTCCACCTGATATATGTGCCTGAACACAGTATCAGTTATGAGATAACCTAACCTAACAGCACCTGTAGCTAACAGCCAGGTGTGTCAGTGAATGCATCGTGTTCTTCAGCCACACCTGTACATACTAAACAAAGCATACCCTGGTTCATAGCTGATGTGAGATGATATTCTTGATGAGTTTCTGTGCCTAATGATCTTAAAATAAAGCAAACATGGTGAACAGAAGGCGATGAGAGAATTTAAAGGCAAAAGCAGCAATACCCAGAGATTAGGAAAAAGAGATTTGTTCACAGACTTATTTATAATAGAAATACATTTTACAAAATATATCTTTTTTTGTATTGATTTGTGTCCTACAGTTAGTGTTTTTGTAGATACAGTGCTCTTTCACATATATGCATGATGAGGTGTTTACTTGTATTACTATAATCTTTATCACGCTTAGACCAAAATACCTGGCGTAAAGGCTGCCATTTTTACAGTAATTCTGTTTCTTCTATATGTTTATTGATGTTGAAAACACCCAGACATGGAACTAGATGGTAACGATGTCTCAGTCTGTGCAGGAGCTCTGCACATCATCGAAGATCCCTCTGTGGAAGGTCAGTACCACAGAATAATGGTATATTTTCTGGTGTCATGTGTCTGTGATGGGATCAGTAAGCCAGGCATGGAGCAGCATCGGAGAGGGCAAAGTGTTAGTATGAGACAGTGTCACATAAATCAAAACAGTGTTCAACTGCAGCGCAGCACAAAGGAACGTAACAAGAGAATCAGGTTGAATCAGTGTGGACTGTCAGAAAAAAGAGGACATAAAACCTCTGCACAAGACCTCACCATCTGTCTCAAACTTTGTGAAGACACAAAAAACTCCTTGGGATTGGGCTGCAGCATTTCAGCTGGAGCTGCATGTCACTATGGATATGATTTTAGGTTGACGCACTGTGCCTCTAATGGAGAAGAAAACCTAAATGCAGTTGACATGCAAGCAGAGAGGACTGGCCTGAATCTGCACTTCATCCTCGTCATTCTCTTCTCCACCAACAAGTTAACGCCAGAGAAGACATAGTACTGAGAGGACGCACATAAGTCTCTGCTGTCCTAGCACAATACTTTTATACACACACACACACACACACACACACACACACACACACACACACACACACACACACGCCTGTGAGCCAGAACAGACTTCATTTCATACACCATCAGTCAGATGTTTAAGGAAAGACACAACGAGGAGAATCCCAAAAACTCTGGCTGCTCACTGCCCTACTTATACTTTACATGTTGGCTTGTGAGAGTAAGTGTCAAGATTTTGATAATCATTGCATAAAAGGTCCCTTGTTACATTGTGTATGTATGCTCATAGGTTTTGGTATCAGTTTATCATTGAGTGTCTGGGTAGGTGACAAATCTAAAAGTCACTGCATTGAAAAATGTTTGGGTTGAAACTCAACGTGTATGGTTTTGGTGGCCACAGTCTATTTTTATAAAGGGTAGAAGGTTCAGATAAGTATTTCTATGGTCATGTCTAGAATGAATGCTAGATGAACAATAATTAGCTTTTACTAAGAATAATTAGAATATCACACACATTTGTACTTCTTTACTGGAGGACCCTTATTAAGTACTAGCAATAGCCCCTCCCTCCCTCACTTTAAACACAATGTGCTTAATCATTTAAACAATTTACGTAACCTGAACCTGAATTCTGGATCTTAAAGGAAAGCCGAGGCTCATCACACCTTTATTTTATTTATTTTCTAAGCTCAGGGCATCAATTCTATTGATTATGTTAACATTGTACTCACCAATGTAGTTGCTGAGATCTGGGGATGCTGAGGCATTGCTAAAAATATCTCCAACACAGCAAGATACACACAAGGTTACTCAAGTGGTAGCTAATCTGGCAAAAACACTGTCTTATCTACAACCCGTGTGATCATCTGACCGCTGCTACTTCCTGCTCCCTTGGAATAGCATTGCCATGTTTTGAGATCTTAGCAATGAGTGGGAACCTGCCAAAATATCCCAAAAGCCTTCTCACTCTCAAAACCCAATTTGGTCCTCACAAAGATAACAAAGAAATACACACACACACACACACACACACACACACACACACACACACACACACACACACACACACACACACACACACACACACACAGTAGCTACTTGCATGTCTCTTCATGATTTTAATTTTACACTATCTTTCAACACACATCACCGTCAGCATACTGAGATCAATGTGACTTGCACATTTACTTCCTGTCACATCTAATAACAGTAGAGTGGAGTTTGTTGAGCTAAATCCATTTTAAGTGTGCACCAAAGCACAGTGTGAGCTACCTTTGGTTTGCAAGACATCTGCTGTAAGACTGTGACAGCTGTGCAGAAGAACATTTGAATATACTTTGAAAGTACTGGAGATATTACTGCTTCACTTAATGTTGGCAAACAAACAAACAACTGAATAAGCTTTCAGCTTTAAGTTTAGCTCAGGTTTACTTACATACTGGCAAAGGTTTAAAGGTTTTATGGTACTGCTTTCTAATAAAGCCCTCTTTTTAAAGGGTTTATAAGCTGTTACTAATGGCTTTTCTAATGGTTTATGAATACTTACTAATGTTTTACAGATCAGTTAATGAAGTAATTCATAAGAACAAGTTTTAGGTTGCCCTTTGGCTGGTGTTTATCTATTAACTAATGTTTTAATTGGTTGGTTAATGGTTAACAGATCCTTTACTATCATTTGCTAATGCTCTATGGCTTATTAGAAAATTAGAAATTAGTGTTTGTTAAGTCATTTCCAACATCTATAACCGTATTATTACTAAATAGAGAGAATAAACAGCTATGGTTCCTAACGAAGGGTTCTAATTGATCTATAAAGCATTAGCAAATCATTTATTAACCATTGTCTAAAGGGTGCCTTACTCGACAGTGGTACCAGGGCTAAAAATATTTAAAAATGTTAATATATATTTAAAACTATCTAACAGTTGTTAGGCAGTTATGACTAAGTCTAGGGCTGGGATACATTATATGTTATTTTTTATTCTGCATGCAGTTCAAGGTTCAGTGCAGACCAGTTTTAACATGACTCACTGCCAAGCTGACCGGTGAGAGGTGAGAGCCTGGAGGGCGAGTCCTGGCCATCTGCTGTCCGAACCGACATTCAACCACATCCTCTTATACACACACACACACACACACACACTTATACACACACTCAAATGTTTCAAATAACAGCTTTTGAGATTGTTTATGATTGATTTGATGCCTGTTTATGGTATTTTGTTTCACCATTTTACAAGATAAATAGGTTAACATGCCATTGAATGCCAGAGGGAAAACAGGTGCATCAGAGTACACCTCGAACCCCTAACCACTGCCCCAGGCATGGGTTGTTAACACAAAACACTGAAAACAGGGAAACTATGTTCAAAGACAGGCAAATGCTCATCCTGAGTTGGAGCCAGCCAGCAACCGTGTTATGTTCAGCCAAAGCAAAGATGAATTCTCATGTTTTTTCATGATGTGTGCCATGCGCTGAATTGATTTTGAGCGTGAGAAGACACACGCGGCACAGACTATCTGTGTGGGACTAAAGAAAATAATGTGGACAAAAGGATCCCTGAGATATTTTAATGTTATTTCAGAGCAACACAGCTGAAGAATATTGAGTTACAGATTTAGGCAAAAATGAGTCTAATTTGCATGGGAAGGCTGAATTGTTGCTGCACAGTTTTACACAAAGTTTGGCAAAGCAGATCGCTGTTTTACAGTATTTTCTGATTTCTTTTTCATTTCACCTTACTTTTAGCTGCAAATGATTTTCTAAACAGGCAGGACCAATGATCCAGGTAACTGCCAGGCCTGAGAAATGATCTTTTAACCAAAGTTTTGAGTCACATGCTGATTTATAGCTGCTCCAGTACTAATCAAGTAAATTGTATTTGTATTTGAAATGGGAGGATGACTGCCCCACCAATAATGTTTGATAAAGCTATTTTAGCAAAGGAAAGACAATGTCCTCTAGAACATGAACCTATGTCCATTTCTGATGAAGCTGATGAAGAAGCAGTTTGTTACGTTCGAATAAATGCTGTGAGATCTTTCATGTGATGTTTATAATGTATAGTTATAGTAATGCCAATAAAATGAAAAAACACCACTTTCAAAGAATGTCACTGTTTTTTGTATGAATAGAAAAATATTACACCTTTGAAATTAGTTTTGGTAAAATCTGTAACTGTAACTGTTCAATAGCTATGGCCCAATGCTTTGGTTTGATGATATTTTAAACCAATGACATTAGATTTTATTAGATTAGAAGTCAAACATGGGATGTGTTCACAATAACTGGATTACAAACCCGCCAACATCTGACTTGAAACAGCATCTGAAGCGTCAAATTAAGTGCCATTTGAGGAAACTGTACACTGGCTGGTGTGTTTTGCATATTGTTTTTGTACACTGAACTAAATTACCAACATATTAGGGGTTTGAATCCTTAATTTAGATGCACATATATTATTATCAACACTTACATGTTTGTCACAGATTGCATATATTGTGCTGGTTGGAAGATCATATTTCCAGTTTCCATTCACACAGTTTCCAATCACATCAGGGAGCCTAAAGTCCTTTCAGCTGACAACATAGCTGAGCGACCATCCTCCAAATGTATGTTTTCTTATTCAGGGAGGATCTTTGAAATGAGTTGGAATAACTAAATTAAAGCTAAAATCTAGTCTAATTGTGTATTCACACTTCTGCTGGATTCAACTTAAGTGCTGTTGTTCTCTTTAGTTCCTCTGAGGGTTTTTGCTCTTGTTTATCCTTCTGGCTTGTCTGTGGGATGCATCCTAATTCCACATTGTCGTGAATGCACTAGCAGCATGAAAACAAGGTTGTCACCCAAAGAGCAGGGCTCTTTTTAAGTCGTATAGTTGCCTCAGCAGACCTGTGCTGTTGTGTGCTGCCGTGTTCAGCCAGCCAGATAAACTAACAGTGTGTCCTCAGGCGCCCCATGAGACAGCCACTGACCTGGCTAATATGAGTGTCTGCCCCCTGCACACACACATGCATACAAACACACAAACACAAATGCATTTGTGCATACACACAAACAGAATCATACACACCAGTCTATAGTGTCCAGCATAGATCTGACTACAGCTCAAAATGTAAAATCTAGTGTGATGTAATAATCTAGCATCTCTTTCCTCTCTTCCTGTTCTCCCTTGCCCTCTGCACTCCTTTTACCACAAACATTTATGATCCTCAGTGCCTTGGTCCATTGTTTGCTGTGCTCCTATTTTAGTCTTTAGTTAGTTTGCCAGCTCAAGCATGAATCCCATCTCTGTCTCTGAGCCTCAAGCCACTGTCACTGGAACAAAGAAAGATGTTTTATGTAAACTGTAATATAATGTCCTATTTGCCTGTTGAGTGTAACAATTCCCTAAGAAGTTCACCCAGCCTTGAAGGAAAATACCCACTGAGTCACATAGTTTTTCACTCATGTTTATTATTTAAATGCTACTTCAGATGCACCCAGGTCGCAGTTTAATGCAGAAGCTCAGTGTGTCTGGAAAGATCAAAGTCCTTTGCATTACATTTCTCTTTCAAACTGAATCACATTCCCACTGGGAGACATTAAGAAACTAGGCGGATGATGACAACATATCAGTTTAGTTTACCAGCATTACACCAAATTTTATTCACAACCTTATAATAAGGGTACAGTAAGGGTGGCCACTTTACAATGACATGACAGCAGTATCAATATGTTTATGTCTTCCCTCGGCCATCAGCAAATACAGATGTACCATTATGTTCCTGTGAGGACCGAGAACAGTAAGGACAATCATCATCATCATTGGGATGGTGTTGTTTGTCTTCGTCATTAATAACGTGATGATGATGATGATGTTTCAGTCCTAATGGTGTTTTCAGTGTTTGTCCTCATTTCAAAATTCTTATCACTCATGCAGCCCCCAAAGCCTGGAGCTTAGTCAGCACAGCTGGGACTGAGGGAGACATGCACACACACACACACACACACACACACACACACACACACACACACACACACACACACACACACACACACACACACACACACACACTGGTAAGAGAGATAATAGTTATCTGAAGATGTGAGAAATGCTCCCTTAGCTGGAAACCCTAGTTCATCAAATAAAGATTGCGGATTCTAACCTCTCTGGGGTCTCATTACACTTATCTGCATCCCATGAGAATTCCTGATCAATTGATCACTCCCTCATGGTCTGCTACCTCCATCCCAGTAAGGTTAGAAGGTCAACGTGATCCCTGAACATACATACAGTTATTATTCCAATCATTTTAAACATTTTAGTCGAGGTTTTAAACATTACAGAAAGAGGATATTTAATGAACATTTACTGGCTACACAGATGTATGTATATTATGTATATACTGTATTTTAGTTTAGGGTAGCAGTTATCAGACATTATCTACTGCAATTTTGTATAAATATTTCATTCTTAAAAATACATTTTCTATATGTTTTACATGCTTATTAAGACACATTATCATTTGTATGGACTACATTAGTGGTATTTGATGACAAACGGCCAGCAGGAGCCTGACTATGACCCCAATTAACACCTCACCTCTGCCCCCCAGCTTTTTTAATGACGCCTCAGTGGATCTCTATTATATCAAGGTTCTCCAATGGCAAACTCTAAACTCTTCTGTCTGCTTTAAGCATGATGGATGTGAATCAGCACTGCATTTTGTGTGTGTGTGTGTGTGTGTGTGTGTGTGTGTGTGTGTGTGTGTGTGTGTGTGTGTGTGTGTGTGTGTGTGTGTGTGTGTGTTCTTTTTAGTGTAACAAGTTTATGCTGAATAGAAATCAAAATGTTTCCCCAAAGGAATGTGGAGTATTTTGACAAGATAGTGGTAGTTTTAAGTACTATCAAATTTATCTACTGGGAGTTTCTTTATCTCCATAAAGGGCTTTTAAATAGTTTACACACACACACACACACACACACACACACACACACACACACACAAATAAGACGGCCCTAGTGATGTCGCCACAAAGTATCTGAGGCCTCTTTACTCCCTCTGTAACATTATCCACTGGACACACACACACAAACACACACACAGAGGCAGCTACGAGGCAACTATATTGTGACCTGACACAGAATTAGTGACTTGGCCGAGCAGTGTCTTGGCCTTGTGTGACAGTCTGTGCCAATAAACAGCATCCCTTTCTTCTCTCATTTATTACAGACATGTGGGTCTCTGGAGCCCTGGGAGAAGAGGAGAAAGAAGACCTAAACTCCACCAGTGGTGCATAAAGTCCTACCAGTCTTCATCCCTGTGAATATTTGGATCTATTTTTTTGGGGATTCGACGGAATTAAAGTTTGTTTTTGCTCTGAGTGAGCTTGAAGAGGGAGAAATGGAGCCCACTACATCAACCGAACTGAGGGATGACAGAAGAAAGGGAAACAGCAGAGAGGTAAATTTCAGACAAAAAACTTCTTTAGCAAATCAGAAAGATCCATCTTTTTTTTTTTTTTTTACTCCCTACCAATCAGAGAAAGGAATAGAATAAGTGTCTATAAATGAACAAAATGTTCACACTGTGGTGGAAAGTAATTTTGAGGTACTTGTACTTTACCTGAGTATTTCCTTTTGTGCTACTTAGTACTTCTACTCCACTGCAATTCAGATGCAAATATTGTCCTTTTTACTGCATACAGTAATCAGCCCACCTTTACCAGCTGCAGCAATGAGAAAAAAAGAGATGTACACATTAATGCATATAGTTAGTAAGTAGTAGTAATTCAGTAACACATTTTACTCTGAAATGGGTCATTATGCAAAATGAGCACTTTTACTTTTGGTACTTTAAGTATATTTTGATGCAATATGTTTTTACTAACATTTCATTTGACTGAAATATCATTTGTAAAGTATTCACTGTGCTATTGCCACTTTTACTATATCAAAAGAGCTGCGAACGAGAGATAATACATGTATTACACATAATTATGTGGGGCATAAGGTGTGGAGGTATGGACTTTACTGCAAATTAAAAAATAGGTTCAGAAACCTTTTGTGCCGTTTTATGAGTATGGTCGTGTTTGTGTTGATGGCGCCATCAGGTGGTTGAAACATGTCAAGACACTGCAGGATCATTTAATAATTCCTGCTTTGAGTGCCTGTAAACGGTGCACACAGGCCACATATTGTAAGTCTCTGTCTGTCTCTTCCAGGTGATTGATCCCGTCAGTGTTCTTCCCGAATCGTCCAGATGCAAGGTGGATCCTGAAAATATGCTTGGCATTGTGGGTATTGTGGGCACAGTTCTCAACCTGCTTGTAGTGGTGTTAGTGTATATCTACACACCTATCTGACATCACTGACTGTATGGATGGATTTATGGTGAAGCTGTTGGAGTGGAAGGACAGATGTATGAATGGGACATCACCTAATTGATGAATGGAAGGAAGGACAACCAGAGGGAAGTGGCAGAGTGCTTTGATCCTAGGAGGGTGATTTAGTAATACCACATACTATAAGAATACAAAGAAAGGCATTCTCTGACATTGTTAGTGCTGAGGATAATTTATTGGGATTTAACCTTTGTAGTTATGTTTGTAACTATGTCACCTTGAAGCTAAAGTCCCTTTCTATGAAGCAGTAAATGTTTGACCAACATTGTATATTTGGTTGTTTTTCTTTGAGTTTAAGAGCTTTGCACATATTTTCTATTGGAAATTGTTTGTTTGCTTTTTACATTGGTTTTGAAAATAAATTTACAACCATTTCAAGTGAGAATAATTTTAAGAAATTCTTTCATTAAGACCTCTGCAATCAGCCAGCACATTTTAAAATATGATTGAGTTAGATTTATTTTACAATTTCAACACACAGGGAAAAAAAGAAACAGAAAAATATAGGATGAGGAACTTGTACATGTCTGCCTCTTTGAACTATCACAGAGGACCAGAAAACAACAAAGAGAAACAAGGATATGCTTCATAAGGGTTTATTTTGAGTTATGTTAATATTTACATAGAAAAGAAACATTGGATATTTATATGTAAAACATGAGATAATAGACTCTGTTATTTTCTCAGAATCCTAATTTAACAGAGCTCCAGACAATACAATAATGAATACATACGCAATCGTGTGTGAATGTTACAAATATGTGTATAATTTCTCATATGCATAGGAATTGCTCATAAACACTGAGGTAGGCTAACATACTGATTTATCCAGCTTGAATCCTACTTCAATATTCAAACACAATCTGCCCATAATTATATGAAAACATCATGACATGTATCTTTCAAAAAAAAAAAATATATATATATATATATATATATATATATATTTGTCTGTCTTTAAGGGACAGGAGTGCTATAACTGTTTGGATTACTGATGTTAATATCAGGCAGTATTTGGCAGCTGGTGATGATGTCAATCTTCTCGGACACAGCCTTCAGGTCATCCAGGATTAATCTGATGCTGTGGGATGCACTGATGATGGCGCCCTGTGAAGTATTCAGCTGAGCTGTTGCACTGTGAACCTTTTACACAAAAACAACAACCAGAGTCAAAAAATTGCAACCACAAAACTACTGAAATGAAGGAATTTCAACCCTAGCTAGTTAGATATTAGAAGATGCTTTTCATAGGATTGTTGTTAATGTCAAGGAAATGACCGGAGTTACAGGTGACAAAGGTATTGCCGCTTTCCATGTGATTCCATGGGACTGTCATGTGATTTCTATCTTTTCTAACACTACGCTACTGACATTACATCATATGTTTATTTTATCACAGCCATCCTAGATGCTCAAATTACTACTAAGATTACATTATAGTATCTTTTTCTGTACCGTGCAGCATTAATCTAATTACTTTTCTTGTAAAGAACAAAATGTTTGGTGCTCAAATCTGCTAGGGAATACGTACAGTGGCCTATGTAATGTAAGTAATGCTGTAGTATAAAGAGCATTTTGGCAGACTTTTGAGTCAACTATCTACATACCTCTCTACTGGCACTGCCATAAACATGCCGTAGTGTCTGTCCCACGTCAAAATAAAGCCGGTTGTTAGATTCCTGCAGCTTCTGTTGTAAAAGGGTGTCACCTGGAAACAGAATTACATTTAAAAATAACTGAGATCTAACCTGGACAGGGCTTCCATCTCATAGTTACTCATTCATTTGTCATCCATGTCTAAATATTGATTTCTGAACACTGAGATGCCAGAGAATAAACTACAATTAATGGTCAAATATGATCATTTATCACTGCAGCTACAACTAACACTCCACAATACATGATCTTAAATGGGCATACTTTTATGTTTTTCTTTATTTTAAGATACTCTAAACTCAAAGGTCCAATTACCAGATTGTTTCAGAGCTTTCAACCACATCCAAAATGCCTCAGTTTTAATCAGCAGACGTAGCTGCCTCGCATCATACACAGATGCAATTAAAGGCTACCTAGTATTAAAGTACTAAAGTATTGCCATTGGAATATTTATTAATATACTTATGTATCCTCACCATGTGGCCTGTGTGTGGGGCTTGGCCTGTCTTCCACTATGGACTGTATATCAGGATGGTCTCTAACTACGATAAGAGGAGGCAGGTCTCTCCTGAGTATCTGAGCGCTCTCCTGGCTCACTGTAGAAGCTCTGTCCGTCTGATCCTCCTCACCCTCACTCTCTGTTTCAGACGCCTCCCCAGGAACCTGACAGCATCCAAAGTCACACACACACACACACACACACACACACACACACACACACACACACACACACACACACACACAGACAGAGACAAAGCAGACCGTAGAGTCACGACATGAGGGGTGGAGACATTGGTTCAAGGTTACGAAACACAAACTTTTCTCTCTCAAGACAACCTTGGCTCCGACTGTGGCAGATTGGGGAGCAGCCATGGAGGTGATGTAAACCTCATCATCAGAGTCTGTCTCAGAGGCCTCGCCCTGCACCACTATCTGGTACCTGCTGGACATGGCTGCGCACACACACAGACACACACACAGACACACACAGACAGACACAGACAGACACACACACACACAGACAGACACAGACAGACAGACAGACAGACACACACACACACACACACACACACACACACACACACACACACACACACACACACACACACACACACACACAGACAGACACACACAGACAGACAGACACACACACACACACACACACACACACACACACACACACACACACACACACACAACAAAACGTAGTTAGCTAACGTTACATTGAAACAAAGAGTACAGACTAACTAGGTAACGTTAAATAACGGTAATAACGGTCACACTAACTTAAGCAATACTCTATGTAATCATTGTAATGTTAGCTAAAGGCTAACGCTAAATGTTGAAATATACACAAACAAATCCTCAAACTGTCAAACCTTCTGTGTGATGTTGAAAACACAAGTCACATGAGCAGTGAGGAAGTAGCTTGTTTTCCAAGACCCAATCCGAGCTGCGCTACCATGTCACGTGATACGAGACGTTTCATGACGTGGTTGGAGGAAATGCCCTAAATAATCAGGGATGTGTTTGTAATGAGAACCGGCGTACGCCGTATTTATGGTTTCAGGCAGACTCTAAGATACGAGAAAGCGTATGGGTACGAGGTTTATTGGCGTACTCCACTAAGAACAATATGTTTAATTATTTGTTGTGTGCTTTCTCTGAATGTCCCTTATCTGTTGTGGTGAATGTAATCACCGTCACTGGCGCCTTCTCCCACTAACACCGCCTACGTGAACCCCGAGGAGTGCCCTGGTGAAATATCGAGTGCAAGGGTTGTGTTTACTGTGTGTAGCTTACAGTCGTTGACAGGTACAGTAGATTTATCTTTCAGTAAGATGAACTGTGAGTCGTACGTACAGACATTGCGTTGACCTCATTATATGTTGAGATTAGAACAACTAGTTCTCACAGAAACGCTGCTAGCAAACAACACTAGCAGGCTACCTGGCGCTAACTATCCAGCTAACGCTAAGCTGCTGTAAAGGAGTTTCACGATTAGCATTAGCTACTGTTGATTATGTTGAAGCACAGCTAACTAAATAACTAACTAGGTGAAGTGAAACTGTTATTTAAACGTTATATTGGACTGTGTAACACTTTGTTTGTGTGTCTGTCAGGAATGGCAGACGAGTCTCTGTTTGACTTTCTCCATATGGAGATCGTGTCACATGTTTACAAGGAGCAGCAGAACAGTAAAGGAGAGATGGACAACAAGGTGTGTTCAATGAAATCATGAATCCATATACTGACACATAATATAAAGAAGAATAGTAGCTTTCAGTTACCTTACAAAACACCATCTAGTGTTAATCCTGGTTGCTAATCGGCGCATATTTGTTCCAGTAAACAGTCTGCTTTCAGAATACAGCTCACCGTTACATTACAGTACTGTAGAGTCAAACGAGCCTTTTATAGGACACACCATACTAACACACATATAAAGCTAGTTCTTGTCCACTGTGCTAATAAACCGCTTGCATTTCTTCTCTTCAGGACAGAGCTGTCTGTGTTTCTGTCCTTGAAAGCATGGGCTTCAGGGTGGGACAAGGACTCATTGAGAGGTAGACAAGCACACACATTGTGTAAGCAACAGTAAATGCTGTGTGGCATGTGTCCTCATTTAGGTTAAATGTCTTTGTGGATGTTTTCTAGGTTGACGAGGGACTCTCCGAGCTTCAAGGATGAGCTGGACGTAATGAAGTTCGTCTGTAAAGACTTCTGGACAAAGGTGTTCAGGAGGCAGGTTGACAACCTCCGGACAAACCATCAGGTAAAATAAAAGTGTAGAGTAACAATATGTGGACTGCTGTCAACGAGAAATTGAAGGCACCCCATGCTTTTGAATTTATATTTAGAGGGTTGTTGTGAAGCCACAATTATTTATCCATTCACTGAGATTTTTGGTCTCACCAGCTCAGTTTCAGATCAGTCATCTTTCCACCAACAGGAATTTGGATCTCAGATCATTATGGTATCTCACGTTTTTCTCGGCCACCATAGTTTCTCCTACAAACTTCACAGCCCGTTCTTAATCCCAGGTCATTGGATGCAGACGCGAGCAGTGTTCAGTGTTGGTTGCAATCTGCAATTTAACTGCTAGATGCCACTGAATCCTACACACTGGTCCTTAAATCTTTAATAAAACTCAGCCAAGGTCATAGATTACTTAAATCCCCTTCAGACTACAGGAAGTCTTGCTAAATTAACTAAATTTAAGAAATTTAAATATTTAAAAGCCTATTCAGTGTTGAAAGTGTTTGTTTCTATACAAGTGTTTGTTCTCTGCCATAGGGCACCTATGTTCTGCAGGACAACAAATTTTCTCTGCTGACTCAGCTCTCCAGTGGAAAACAGTACCTGGATCAGGCTCCTAAAGTTAGTATGCACTGCCTTTCTCTCACACACACACACACACACACACACACACACACACACACACACACACACACACACACACACACACACACAGACATTCCCGCTCACCTGGGGATCAACTAGAAGTAGGTAGGAAGGTTTTAATTTTTGAGATGCAGCAAAAGAAATTGGAATCAATCTCACTGTTGCTGAAGCTAATTTGTATGCATGTCTGTGTGTGTTTTCTCTCAGTACCTTGCTTTTTCCTGTGGCATTGTGAGAGGAGCTCTGTCTAACCTAGGTATGGACAGCGTGGTGACGGCGGAGGTCTCTGTTATGCCATCCTGTAAGTACTATCAGAATACCAGTCCAAGATTTTCTTTGTTGTGGGAACATGCTCATTGGCTAATAGAAGCCAGACTGTTAACTGCTAATGGTGAAGTGTCATTATGGTTTACCTTTCTCTTTTTTCTTGCCAGGCAAGTTCCAGGTGGTGATCCAAAAGTTGTGACGTGACCCTCTCTGCTACCCTGGTGCTGATGAACAGGGCCCTGTGGGGGCCTGTTAATCCTGAAGAGAGGATAGTAGTTCTGTCCTGATCAACCACAGAGAGAATCAAACACCACCATGATTTTCCACAACTGGGTCAAACAGGACTCGCCAGGTTCTGCTGACAACCAGGTACCCCTGACTGGGCAAAAAAGGGTTAGCCAGGGCTTATCCTTTACCTGTGGTACTCTGATACAGAACAAGATTTGTTTTATTGCTTTTTTTTGGCATCTTGGTTTTTGATATACATTATTTTCCATTGGAGCAAATTGAATAATTAGAAATATTGAAGTTCTCAACTTAAGTTTTCACTAAATAAGCGGCGCCTGGCCCTGACTGATTGAAAATAAATATTGACTGTCAGTGGCTGTGAATACAATGATGTGAATGTGAATGTATAGTGAATCACATGGTAATGTGGTATTGTTTGTAATGTGTTGCAGTGTTAAGTCCCCAGATCGAGAGGAGAGTGCTTACTAAAACATTTTGAAAATGAAAATCAGCAGAAATTCAGATAAGACGTCCTTTTTTTTTTCAATTTCAGGACTATCAACCGCCATACGTTCCAGATTAGCATCCATCCAAATAATAGCTAGTGAGCCTTTGAAAATCATTACATCTGGCACATCAAATTTATTTATTCAACACTTGTTTCTGTGCAGACACACTGAGCAGCTGTAACCAGCTCCTGGTGCTTTGCTCTGCCTTGTAGCAGATTGCCTTTAGGAGCTGGGTGTTTCATGAATGCTGGTGGTCATTTAAATTCAGTCAGTCAGTTATTTTTAAGGCAAATCAGTCATTGGTACAGGAGCCTTTAGTTTAATTACATTGTGTTATTAAATATCATAACAGTTTCAAGGCCTGGCTTTTCTACAAATTTGAAAGTGGCATCTACCTAGTGAGCATCAGTCTGTTCCTCTATAGCCATGTCACAGTTGACCACTCAAAGTAAGTTTATAGTTATTATTTTTGTACCAAGATGTACATTTGTTGTCCTTTGTACAGCATTGATATGTGAACATATTGTATTGAGATTTACAGCAGCATACAGTAAAATGCAAATGTGATTAAATCATGTTTTATGTTGGCTAATAATTTCACATGGATATCTGGGTTACATTTACACCTTGCTTTGTATAAAAGTCTCCTCAAATATGAATCCTAAAAGAGCTGTGAGGCCATAAGGCCATTTTTTTTTCAACAAGAACACCACAAAAACTTAGTCTGTTGAACGAGAACACAACACAATGATACCTTGATTATGAAATTCACCTCTCTGGTAGATGCTGTTGCCTCTTTTCACCACAAGAGGGCCACATAAAGCTGTCGTCGTTTTCATGTTTGTTGCTTTACCAGTTTACCGATTCACCATTTTGGCAAGTTATGTCCAGTGTCTCTAATTCAGTTCTACCTTCTTCTCTCAAACCTCTAGTTTATCTTTTTGACGTACTCCCAGTATTTGTCTGGGAGAAATGAGAACCCATACTTGGGTACTACCTGGGCTATTCAGTGCCATGAAAAACACCCTTTGTATATTTATTTGCATGATGTTTTGTGTGACAAAATGACATTGAAGTTAGTAGAAATATTTTGTCACCACAGCTTCTTCCATAAATTCTTCAAATATTTGTTATCGATATAATAATTCATTCTATTTTCCAACATGGTAGTTTAATTCCTTAGAGAACTGTTTAGTTATAATGTTCTTATGTAAATGGGTGTGTGTTACTTTGCCTTTTCTCCTCTTTATTACTGCATAACAACACATTTTACTGTGTACAACAGCAACAGCTGGTCCATTTCCCATCATCCCTGCTTAAGTTATTAATTTTTCTTTCATGTTGTTGATCCATATCATGAGCTTGGTATTAAGAGGTTCTACTGTATGTGAGCATACTGCACTTCTGAGATATTCACTATCAAAAGTTTTGTCCCTGAAGGCTTAAACTGTAACTTTTCAAGAGAACCTTTAGTTGGGGTTTACAGTACGCTTACCCAGGTTCAGTCAAATCCACCATCATATTTGGTAGAATGTTTTACACTTTAATGAAAATCCAGAGGGTTAATATCTGTAGTTACATTTTGCTATGGCGCCACAATGACAGTATTGCAGTCGTTGATGGACAATGGTGCTCAGTCTGCTTTTATTTTTGTCTCTGCTGTAATAAAGTACCCTTGACTGTGTTCCAGTATTCCACTGCCATCAGTGTAATAGTTTACAAAATAAAGGTCGTTACATGTAACTTTATCCCCTTAAAGTGCTCTCAGTGTGTTTCTGGCTCGGGCCTGAAAAACTTTCTTGTGGATGCTACTTTCTATATTTGCTTTTACAGCAGTCATTAGCAGTCTATATAGTACACAACATGCTTTCACGTTGTGTGTTTTACCATATAAGGAGGACTCCTAGCCTCAGTATTTCCTTTATATATTTGATGTGATGGCTTTTTATCATTAAAGAGCCAATTCTTGTGGACAATGAAGTTTAGGTAACTGCACAGTAGACCTTGACATCCTCTTGAGTTAAAACACTGCAGGTAATATACAGGCAGCTATCCTGAAAA